TGTTACATGTTTTTAAACTTTAGAACTTCCATTTTGACTATTTAAAAAAATAGATTCTGTTCTTTGATACAATTTTCTGTCTTCTTGACATATTAACTGTAATTATTTAGCATCTGTACCTGATAATACCAATAACCAAATCATTTGTGAGTTTGTTTCCTTTCTTTTTTTTAAATTGGTCTTGTTTCTTAAGTATGATAGTTTTTAAATGAATGCTTATCTTTAAATATTAAAAGCTTTAGAAGCTCTGGATTATCTCATTTTTCTTCAGAGAGGTTTTACCTTATCTTCTGATGGCCACAGAGAGTAGTGGCTGACTCACGGCTGTGCTGCAATTTTAAGCCTCCTTTGATCTCTGTTTCGTCTCTGTTCTTAGAGTATAGTATCTCAGGGGTCCCAATACCGACCTTATGTTATCTAGAACCTTTCTTCTCTGGTGGTTACTGAATGCCAATTTTTGTCTCTTGTACATCTTGAAGCTACCAAAACTTCTGTTTGCTTTTCAGGGGCATTCTTCTTAGCTGCTTGTCCTCTTGTTCCACACAAATGAGTATCAGGCTTACCTTTTTTCTCACCTCTTTTCTCACCAAGACTTCGCCTTTGTTTCTTTACCTGAGTTCTCCAAATAATATAGTATAATATAATATTTCTTTCTTATACAAGCCCTTTTTCTCATTCTTCTTAAGATTTCACCTCAGAATATGTATTAAATTAGTTTTAAATTCCAGATGCACTTTTAACATTTCTTTTTTAAAAAAAAATCCGCAATGAAAATGTATATTACTTTCTTATTTTTCTTTCTTTTTAGGTTCTCAAGTTCTGGCTGCACTGGCAGCTAAAAGCTTTAGTTTTTCTCTCTCCAGTCATACAAGATTGCCAAAGGCTCTTGGATTCTCTATTTCCTGGCAGTAGCTATATCCCCAGATTCACAGCCTTTTGCTTTGTGCCAAGAATAAGAATGGTAGATTCCCTCAGAGTTACAGTTCATAGACTTTCGGATTACTTCCCTGTGGTTTCCTTCTCTCTAGGATCTTAGCCTTTCGTTATTTGATGGGTTTGGTACCTTTAAATTTATTTTATTAGGCTTTCTAGTTGTTCTTGGTGGGCGCATTGGTATGCCCAAACCTTCTCTGGCATAACCAAAAGCTATGGTTAAATCCTAGTGTTTTCATCATTTTATTTAAAAATGTTAATGAACAAGTAATGCATGCACTCAATATTATTTATATAAACAATAATAAAAAGTCATCTTTCCTCCTGTGTTCCAATCTTACAGTCTTTTTCTTTGGAGGTAAAGTTGCAGTTTATTATGCATCTGTCTATATATATCATGTATATATATGTATGTATTATATATGTATATCCTTGTTAACATATTTTAAGTATTATTTATAAGGTATTTCAAACATGATGAAAAGAAAAGGGAATATAATATAAATTCTTGTACCCACCACTTAGGTTTAAGAAAATATTAACATTTTACCATATATCTTAATTTTTTTTTTTTTTTTTTTTTTTTTTTTTTTGAGTTGGAGTTTCACTGTTGCCCAGACTGGAGTGCAGTGACACAATCTCGGCTCACTGCAGCCTCCACCTCCTAGCTTCAAGCTATTCTCCTGCCCCAGCCTCCTGAGTAGCTGGGATTACAGGGATTACAGGCATGCACCACCACGCCCGGCTAGTTTTGTGTTTTTAGTAGAGGTGGGTTTCTCCATGTTGGTCAAGCTAGTCTCAAATGCCTGACTTCGGGTAATTGCCTACCTCAGCCTCCCAAAGTGCTGGTATTACAAGCATGAGCCCCCGCGCCCAGCCAACATTTTGCCGTGTTCCTTTAGATTCTCTTTTTTTGGGGGTAGGGAATAGAATGGCATAATACCTTGAATTCCTGTTTTAAAAATTTATGTTTTAAAACAATTCTTTTTTCCATTCAGTTTTGTTTTCAGGATTTGTCCATGTTTATACATGCAGATCTTTGTTCATTTTAATTTCTATATGGCATTCCTTTAATTAATCCTCTGCCAACCCCCTTGATTTTGTTTTTATTTGGGTTTCTTTTTGTTTACATAAATCTGAACATAATTGTACTCTGTATTCTAGACTTTATATTTCTTACAAAATCTCCTTATGTTTAAAGTTAGTGATACCAAGAAAATTTACTTTATATCCCCTCTCAATTTGATGGAAAGCTAAAACTAAAAATTATATTGGGGGACAAGTATATGAGTGTCTTTAATGTCATGATGATACACTGAGGCTTTTACAGAACATTTTGGTGAATTCCAGATGTATTACAAATCTTTGATATGTTTACCTTTGGTGTGTCCCAAGGTTTATAAATAGTGCATTTAGGAAAAATTATAAATTACCCTCACTCCTGTTTCTTTACCTTAGTACTTCCAGTAAAACATAGCATAATGTATAGTGTCAATATTTCTTTTTAAGAATGTTTTTTTCTCTTATTCTTCATAAGACTTCACTTAACAGAATGTCTGTTAAATTAGCTTAAGTAATTTAACTTCAGACATTTTTTCCTTCTTTTTATTTAAAATTTTAGGTACATTACAAATGGCAATGTTTGTTATTCCCTTATTTTTCTTCCATTTTTTAGGTCTGCAGTATTTTGATAGCATTGTAATCAAGATTTATTGATTCATTTTATGTGCTTTAGCACTTAGCTAAGTATTATTGTGGATGTTAATGGAATATAAGACATTATCCTGGCCCACATGGAGGTTAAAATTTAATTGAAGAGAAATAAACTGATCGTTAGAACACTAACTAAAGTGCTAATGATGTGAGGTGAGATTTGGAGTGGACCTTAAAGGATGATGAATATTTGATTTTGGAAAGCAAAGAGGGGAAGATCTTTACGACATCAGATAGGTAAAGCTTGAAGAGTTTCACCATTATGCAGCTGGGGGTACACATTTGTGATAATGGGAAATTAAGTGAAATAGCATCAATAGTCCAAGAAGATAAGAATTGATGAAGCAGACAATGAGATGCCCATATCAATTGTAAGTGAGAGGATGCAATCACTATTTTAGGAAGCTGAGTGGATCAGAGCAAGAGGACGAAGGTCAACTAGAAAGTTTTTATGGAAATTTGGGAAATTCAACTTTGATATAGCCGTCCCAAAAAATGCCTGTGCCCTTTGGCACAGCAATTCCTTTGCTAAGGCTTCTGGGAAAACATTTCAAAATGTCTGGTGCCTGTAGGGACAGAGAACCGGATCAAAGCAACATTTTAAAGTAACTTGTTTTTCTTTCATGTCTTTTTGCCTCCTGGAACCTTTTTCCTCCAAATCCCAGTGAGTCCAGTGGTGGGGAATTTTCCTGCAGTCTGCAACATGAGAACCCAATGACTGGGTTCCCCTGAGTTGTAATATCTGTGAGCAATCAGAGTAGGCACAGACTCTTGTTTTATTTTTTATAAAATTGAGGTCTTGCTTTATTGCCCAGGCTGGTCTTGAACTCCTGGCCTCAAGTGTTGCTCCTACCTTGGTCCCCTAAAGTGTTGGAACTACAAGTGTGAGCCACTGTTCCAAGCCAAAGCACAGATGCTTAATTAGAGTATCCCATAGAACTCTGAGGGAGTTTATAGATAAGCTTCTGGGGTTTATGAATTTCTGAAATTATATTTTAGATTTTGGATTATGTGCATTTTCTAGACAAGAGTTTCAGATTCTGAAAGAAATGTATCTGACTTTCCCCCACTCCCAGTCTCTTCAGAGACTGCTGGAGCCAAGTGGAAAGAAGATAAGTGATTATATTATGTCGACCCATGTGCAATTGCCAATACTTAATTTAGTAGTTTTTGACATAGGAAAACATAAATTGTATGTGATCCAACCTAATATAGCCTTAAATAACTTTTTATGCATTTTTAAAATGTAGAGGCATTCACTTTAGATATGTAGGTTTTTTTTTTTTTTTTTTTTTTTTGAGACGGAGTTTCGCTCTTGTTGCCCAGGCTGGAGTGCAATGGCGCGATCTCGGCTCACCGCAACCTCTGCCTCCTGGGTTCAGGCAATTCTCCTGCCTCAGCCTCCTTAGTAGCTGGGATTACAGGCACGTGCCACCATGCCCAGCTATTTTTTTGTATTTTTAGTAGAGACGGGGTTTCACCATGTTGACCAGGATGGTCTCGATCTCTCGACCTCGTGATCCACCCCCCTCGGCCTCCCAAAGTGCTGGGATTACAGGCTTGAGCCACCATGCCCGGCAGATATGTAAGTTTTAGTCAAGGAGCATATATTCAAATTTGAATGTGAATGTATTGATATATTTCATTAAGGTAATTAAATTTTGGTTGTATTTCCTCAATTTCTACATTCCATAAACTTACTGCCTTTATACCGTTTCAGGTTATGCAGTTTTTTTTTAAAGGAGTATTTCTCTTGTTCATTTAAAGTGTCTGCTTTGGTAAAATAGGACAGGAAAATGGTGGAAAGAGAAATGAAAGAGGAACCAAGAAGGTATATAGTATAGTATAAAAATGGCACATAGGTTCAAATTATTCACTAACTTCCACTGTTGGTTAGGCTCTGCCTGGAGCTCTTTGATAATGAGAATTCTCAGGCCCTGTTTGGCTCAGGGATTAAAAGTACATTGATGGATCTGTTCTCAATCATCTGAAGTCTGCCATGAGCACAGGACAGCTGAGTGGTAGAACTTATGCCGTACATTTGGTGTTCTGTTAATTACTTTGATTTAATCAGAATTTCCTTGTTAGCCAGAGTATTACATTTCTTCAGAATGATGGATTATATGACTTTCATAAATGTAGTTTGGCATTTGAAACTCTGAGTCAAGAAAACCAAATTTAACCATAAGCTATTTCTTGGAAGACTTCAGAGAACCAACAGCAATACAATTCAGATATTTTTCTTTGATTTTTGTTTTGTTTATTGTCTTTTTTTTTTTTTTTAATTAAGGAACAAAAGAGAAATATACAGGTGGAATGAGGAAACCCTTTAAATCTATTCTTTTTTTTTATAGGTCACTTTCTGATTCCAAAGAGTTCGACATTTTAAGAAAAGCAAGATCTTATATAAAACACAGAAAGTTTGACGAAGCTGTAAGTATACTGGCCTTATAGACATAAGTAGATGATTATCATCCTGGGGATGGGGAGGAGAAAAGTATGGCAACGGAGGGCAAAGTAGGCAGGCCAGGGAGCTTTCTTGAGCCCTCAAGGAAGGATTGCATTTCCTGAGTAGCTGTTTTAGCAATGGACATATCTCTCTTATTTCAGCTAATGTTATGGGTAAATTTTTATTTATTTATTTATTCTTACTATTTTTTTAATAGAGTCTCACTCTGTTGCCCAGACTGAGTGCAGTTGTGCGATCTAGGCTCACTGCAACCTCCACCTCTGGGGTTTAAGTGACTCTCCTGCCTCAGCCTCCCGAGTAGCTGGAATTACAGGCATGTGCCATGACACCCGGCTAATTTTCGTTATTTTTGGTAGAGACGGGGTTTTACCATATTGGCCAGGCTCATCTCAAACTCCCGACCTCAGGTGATCCACTTGCCTTGGCCTCCCAAAGTGCTGGGATTACAGGTGTGAGCCACCATGCCCAGCCCAATTTTTTTTAGTTTAGCATTAGAAATGAACTATTACCATTTTTTAAAATGAGAAATATATGCCAAGTTTCCCTCACCCTACTTATGTGTAGTATTTTAGAACACTATATGCTTGCCACTTGGAATTATCTATACATTATTAAAAGTCTAATGATTCATGTTGAAGCTTTGACTCTTCCAAACTTCTTTTCCACTATATTTTTCATCATTTTTTCTTTGTTAAATGGTTATTTAATTTTAAAGTAGAAAAGAATTATGTTTTCATTTCTAAAATTGCCTAAATAATTGCCAGTTCATGCATTTCTAATGCTAATTTCCCCTGATGGTTTTAAAATGCTAAGCTATTTTTCTCCTGTAAAATATTAAGCTACTTAATGATGTTTTATAGGTAATCCCATATGAGAAAGTAAAAAATATAAATATGGCCAGTATCATCATTTGGGACCTATATTAGAGAGCCTTCATTTCTTTCATGAGTTATCTGAAGATCATTTCCACAAACACACATAGTTTACATTAAAATGTCCTTTCTTATTTAGATTAAAAAATTCATTTTATTCCAAATTTTTCTCATACTTTCAAAGAATATTGTCAAACAAAATCTGTTCTTAATCTGTTATCTATAGTTGCTCACTAATTTTAATACAATGATTTTGCTGTAGGAATTTAAAATTTTCCTTTCTTTAAAATTTAGGTTTTCTTATTCTTTCTGTTAGCGAGTTATATATGTTTTATCTCCATAGGTCTCCCTTTGCAAGGAGCTAATTCATCTTGCGTTGAAAGGATTGTCCTATTATCACACATATGACAGATTCTTTTTGGGCATCAATATTGCTATTGGTTTTGTGGGATGGATCTCTTATGCTTCGTTGTTGATCATCAAGTCTCATTCCAACCTTATAAGAAGTGTTAGTAAAGAAGTTAAGGTATGTTTAGAAAATACAAAGATTCAGATGATGGTATAAAATCACTGGTATAAATCCAGTGTAATGAGTTTATAGAATGTGCAAGTTATTGCTCTAAGCTATTTATCTTTCATTTGCTTTTATTGCATTGGATTTTTCCTCAGTTATCTCTGTTTCTTCATTTGAGAAAAAAATGTATAAATAATAATGATCCTATGGCTTGCGACAGCTAAAAAGATAGAAGTGTAAGTAATTTAAATGCTCCTAAGGTATTCATGATGTTGATCTTCTGTTCTTTTTCTAACTATTTAGCATTTTATAAGTATTCCATATCTTTCTAGTACAAGCAGTCAGAAAGCTACTTCAAAGCAATATGTTTAACTTTATCCAATATTAAAAGTTTAGGAGCTAGAAAGCAATAAAATTATTTGCTCATAATGTTTCTTCTTAAACGATGTATACATTTTTAAAGTACTCTTCTTTTAACTTCCTGAAATTTCTCAAAAATGCAGAGTTCTAGACCTTTTCATGTATTCTTGTTTTAAGATTTTGTTCCTACTTTACTGTGCTTTCAGTGAAAAAACAAAAATTTTAAAAATCTATTTAATGATACTTCATATTGCTGAGACAATATAACAGTACATATATGGTTTTACTACATTTAAACACTTTACTCTTTTAAAATATATTGCTAACTATCATTTACCAGGGAGAATATGCTACTTTCATTTCCTTTGGTTCATTCTCTTTAATAATTCTTACCATATTCAAATTCTCTAAAAAGTAATATATCCTGGTGATGTATTTTTAATAATAGTCTGCAGATATTTCCAGTGGTAACTTTTCCTATTTTGTATTTTATTATTCTGTAATGGAAGTAAGACAATTAGTGTTTATTATAATTTTATATAATGTTTTAATATATCTTAAATAATTTCCCTCAAGTAATTTTAATTATTTGAATGTATGTGAAATTGGCTGGAAGGGGAATTATATTTAGGCATTCTTAGAACTCATAACGGTGCTAGAAGTAGACATTATAATTTATGTTTATAAAAAAGGAATCTGAAGCTGAGGAGGATTAAGTAACTTATTAAAGGCCACTCAGCTAGCATGTGAGGGACTGAGACTTTAATCCGGAGCAGTCTTGGGCTGGAGATTGCCTTTTCATATTTATCCTGATATTCAGTTTATTGAAAAAATATATATTTTTACATGGATATGTTAAGATTTCATAGCTGATGGTTCTTTCTTATTCATTAATCTGATAATACAGCCAATGTTTAATTGAGTATATGGGACAATGCTAGATGCTGGCAAGGGAGTCCAATCTTTTGGCTTCCCTAAGCCACGTTGGAAAAAGAATTGTCCTAGGCCACAAATAAAATACACTAACACTAGCAATAGCTGGTGAGCTAAAAAAAAAAAAAATTGCCAAAAAAATTCTGATGATGTTCTAAGAAAGCTTATGAATTTGTGTTGGCACCACTTTCAAAGCTGTCCTGGGCCACACGTGGCCTATAGACTGCAGATTGGACAAGCTTGCTGTATAGGCCATACAAAGAAATACAGGATTTAGATTCTGCCATCAAGGAGCTTAGAGTTTAGTAAAATAGGTAAGAGATGTACACATATAACCACCTTACCAAGTGTAGGTCACTATATCTAAACTCTACTACAAAACACAGCTTTAAGATATGTTAAGTGTTTGAGATGATGTAAGAGAATCATATTTTAAATAAGAGAGCTGATTTTAGGGTGACGATAACAGGAAAAGTAAGTCTTGGTGGGATTTTACTAGTCAGAATCTAGGGACATAATGAGAATTAAAACAAATTGAATGATGTAAACAGAGGCAGATTTGGGAAGATGTACTGTTATGCTGGGATAATAGTAATATATATTGAGTCCCACTGTTCCAGGACTGTCCTCGGTGCTTTACGTAAGTTATTTAGTTAAGCTTAACACTACCCTAAATTTGGTGGTTACGTTTCTCATAATACAGATGGAGGAATTTAGGCTCAGAAAGGTTTTTCCACAAGGACACGTGGGTTTTAAATGACAGAACCCATATTTTCTGACACTTGAATTCTTTCTCTTTCTCCACCATGCTTCATTCAAAATAAATAGTTCACTTTGGGTAAAATGGGGGAGATTTGTTCAAGGGACTGGTAAGAAGTAATACAATATTGATTAGGCCAAAGTAATCAAAGGCCCCAAATGCTGGACTGTAGCATTTATACTTTATTTATGACAAGTTGGTACATCTTAAAAACCAGAGAAATAGAACCAGGAGGCAATATATATTAAGAGATGTAGTGTAAGAAATTGGCTTATGTGATTGTGGGGCCTAGTTAGGCAAGTCCTAAATTCACAGGTCAGGCTATCAGCAAAGGCAGACTCAACTCGCCAGCAGGAGCTGAAGCTGCACTCAACAGGTAGAATTTCTCCTTTAGGGAACCCTTAGTTTTGCTCTTAAAGCCTTTCAATGGATTGAATCAGGCCCATCCAGATTATCTAGGATCATCTTCTGTACTTAAAGTCCCTGCCCCTTGTACCATGGAGACTATCACTAATGAATTACATTGATGAATTCTCTTGTTTGGCAGGTGATTGGGAATAGTGCATATGACTGAATGAAGCTTCTGTTGGGTGGGCAATAGAGAGAGAAGCTTAGGTATCATGTCACGTTGGAGCTTGAATAGATAGAACATTGTTCCAAATGAAAATTAAGTCCCATACTTTATTATGGATTAAATAGGCTTTTGTGAGTTATCCAGATAACTCAATCAACATTTATGAAATTGTTCCTAAGAGGAAACATGTTCAGAATTCTGAATAAGTTACTTGCAAACAAACTTTGAGGCCATAGTCACTTTTAAGTTGAGAATTGCTTAATTGCAACAATTCCAGGCAATCTAGGTTTTCCTCTCTAATGTGCTCCTCAAATAATAGATTTTTTTCTGTCTTAATGCAGCTCTTTGATTAATCATCTAGTTGTATAACCATTGAAAGAAAGTAATAGATTTTCTTCACTTTATAAAATCTCTTTTAAAACCTATCAATTACCATTGGTTTAGAAGTGTTTTAATGTTTTGTTTGATTTTTCAGAAACCAAGCCATCTCCTGCCATGTAGTTTTATAGCTATTGGCATTTTAGTAGCATTTTTTCTGCTGATTCAAGCCTGTCCCTGGACATATTATGTATATTGTTTGTTGCCAGTGCCAATATGGTATGCAGTTCTAAGAGAGTAAGTAATGCATCTTGCTGCCTTGTTTTTTCACTTCACTGACAGTTAAATCTGTATTTAAAATGCATTAGATTTCTGTACCATAAGTCATCAAAGATATTTATAATACTGTACTTTCAAATCTCCAAACCCTGTCACTTCATTTATAACTGCATAAATGTTGTATATAAACATTCTTTTTGTTATACCTTTCCCTTTCAACTTCATCTTTACTTTCCTTAAGTAACAGTGATCTTATTCACTTCTTTGTGTATCTTTTATAGAAAAAATTTGGAACAAAAGTAATGATTAATATTGATTATACTATGCCTAGACTAACTAGCATTTTGAACTTGTGTCATCATCTCAGATTCCAGTATATCTTCATTTTTGACAGAAATGTTTGTGTGTTTTATTTCCATACGTTCTGACTCGTCCTTTCCTAGCAATTATATAGACCTAGATAAATTAAACTTTGTAATTAAATCTAATATGGTATGTTTACACACAGGGATTAGTCTATATTTTTCATATGTGCTGTGGTTCTATCTATAAGTACTTCCTCACAGGTTGTACTTACAATAGAGTGTATTGTTAACATTATCAAAAACAGTAGAAGTAAGGCTCCTTGGAGAGTTTCAAAACCCTAAATAAAACCACTAGAAGGTGGTGCTAGTTCATGCTCACTAGCAGCCAGAGTCATGTTGCAGATCTTGTTGGTTTCTGTTTTTACACCAGTAATCTATAATTTTTTAAGCTTAATCTTGGATATCAAAGTATTTTCTGAGAAAACAGACTCCTAAAGTCAATGAAAGAATGAGAGCCTATTATAATAAGTTGTCCCCAAGACTGGCTTAGCACATGCATTATGACATTACTGTACTTTATTCTAATTTTTCCTAACTTTAGCTTTGACTGCTTCTTCCATCTTTTAAAATATAAAGTATTAAAAATATTTAAGGATTGGCTGGGCACGGCGGCTCATGCCTGTAATCCCAGCACTTTGGGAGGCTGAAGCAGGTGGATCACATGAGGTCAGAAGTTTGAGACCAGCCTGGCCAACATGGCAAAATGCCATTTCTACTAAAAATACAAAAATTAGCTGGGGGTGGTGGTGGACGCCTGTAATTCCAGATACTCAGGAGACTGAAGCCTGATAATTGCTTGAACCCAGAAGGTGGAGGTTGCAGTGAACCGAGATTGCACCACTGCACTCTAGCCTGAGTGACAACATGAGACTCTGTCTCAAAAAAAAAATTTTTTTAAGTTAAAAATGTTAATATTAAAATACTTAAAATATTAACTATTTTTAAGCGTAAGAGAAGAGAACACTGATCAGATAACATACTGTTACCTCTCCATTTGTTGTATATGCATATTTAACTCAGATTTTTAAAAACATCATTTGGTCTGGTTTTTAAACTTTTAAAATGAAAGTTTTGTCCTTGCAGAAAATCATATCTAGTACAGAACTCCTCCTGAATCATTAAGTGTGCTGATTATTAAGAAAACTTAATATATGTACGTATTTAAATTTTAAGGGAAAACATAATTCTGAAAGTATGTTGTGTCCCATCTTTATCTTTTTGATAAATTATATAGATTCACAATCTTCTAAATGATTTTACAAAATTATCTCTTGTTCCTCTGTGCTTATTCACTGTTGAGAATAAAAGAAACATTCCCCTTTTGACTGGTGTTAGCTTTTCTTTCCTACATGGCGCCTTCATCATTTTGTTAACATTCTGCAGCATTGCTTTCAATCAGAGAAAGGTCATAAACCAAATGATACTGACCTTCTAAAATTACCTACTTAATAATGCACTACAGAGTTACCTTTTTTTCCTAGCGATGAAATGAAAAAAGTACTCAAGTATGTAATACATTTTTGACGGTTATGAGTTCACTTAATTACAATTAGTGTACAATTAGTGACATCTTAAATTGGGTTTGGAAAAGGTTATTTAACTCAGTTAAAAAATGTAATTAAGATTTTTTTCCCTAACTAGATTAGGAAACCGTCCGTTTATTTCATTTAGATTTAAATATAGAATTACTTGAGTAAATTTTAAAAAAATTTTCAGTTTATATGCATTTGGACTCATTGTAGTTTATGTCTCATATTGTATCTGTAATTGTATGAACTCATGTTCAAACTAAGATCAAACAAGATTCATTTGTTATTAATGTTTGTAAAAAAACAAGCCAATTTTTGTGATCATTTTCTTTTTTTTTTTTTCTTTTTTCTTTTTTCTTTTTTTTTTTTTGTTTGAGAGGGAGTTTTGTTCTTGTTGCCCAGGTTGGAGTGCAATGACGTGATCTCGGCTCACTACAACCTCCACCTGCTTGGTTCAAGCTATTCTCCTGCCTCCGCCTCCCAAGCGGCTGGGATTACAGGCATACGCCACCATGCCTGGTTAATTTTGTATTTTTAGTAGAGACGGGATTTCACCAGTTGGCCAGACTGGTCTCGAACTCCCAATCTCAGATGATTTGCCCTCTTCAGCGTCCCAAAGTGCTGGGATTACAGGCATGAGCCACTGTGCCTGGCCAAATGTTTTCAAATTAATTCAGAAATTACATTTCCCCTAAAATACTGCTAGATTTAAAAAAAAATTAGGTAAATAAAGTCCTTGAAACAAATCCATTAGAGTTTTAGTTTTTGAATAATCTATAAAGGGAAAAATTCTCTAGTTTTTTAACTTCTTGCAGAATTTGTATGTTTATACTATATATGACCTAACTTTAAAATCCAATCAGTCTTTTTATTTGAAACAGATTTCAGGTTATTCAAGACCTTGTCGCATCACTGTTGACCTATCCTCTGAGCCATTTTGTTGGGTACCTGTTAGTCTTTAGCCTGGGAACTGAAGTATTAGTAAGTAACTTACCAGATTACAGCAATTGCAGATTTCTTTCATATATTTGTAACTAGTATTAAATGACCTTATTTTTCATTTCTTTCTTGGAACGCGTTACTAGGTTCTCAGTTTTTTCTACCGTTATATGCTTACCATTGGACTTACTGCCTTTGCAGCTTGGCCGTTTCTCACTCAGCTCTGGACTCGAGCAAAGGTATGAGTACTCATTTTGACATAGGACAGTTTAGTAACTACTTTGTTTTGACACACGTAACTTTATTTTTAAAGAAAAGGGTAGAATGTGTTTTTACATAAAAGATCCTAGTCATATTGATAGGAGGACTGATATTACCTTTAAGGTTTCAGTAATTCACTTAGACTTTCACATTTAAATGGGCCAGTTGTGTGGTAATTGAAATGCTGTGTAATAGTGCTGATATGTCAATCTCTGAAGCACTTCCTGGATTTGTTTAGCTTCAAATATCTTGATAATGGACCAGGCGAGGAGCTGCTTAGAGCAGCACAGAACAGTGGCTTAGGTGTCCGTACTCTGAACTTGAGTCATAGGAGACACTTCCCTCCTTATCCTGAGCTATTCAGTTTTTTTTTTTTTTTTTTCTGGAGAAGTATATATTTATTATAGATTATTAAAAATAAAATCAGTCTTCATTTTCCTCCTTCAACTAGGTAGGGAATTACAATATGCTACTACAAAGAATGCTCTCATATTTCCTCTTTGATACTTTGTTATAGAAGTAGCAGGAAGATACCTTCTTTCTACTCTGAGAATTTATTAAAAATCTTCAATGAATGGGATTATTGATTTTTTAATTCATAGGTGGTCTTAATCTAATTACAAAATAGTTTTACTTATTTTCCTCCTGGGCTCAATTGTTTGATGATTATTGTAGGCCACCTTTTTTATAGATGTCATCCTCAGTATGTGGTCTAACATAAATTGAATGAAGCACTTTTCAAAATCTCAGAGGCAGGTTTAAATCCTGTATATTTTATTTACTTGTCATGGACCTGGTACTACTTATGTATTAACTTCTCTGAGCTCTGTTTCCTCATCTGATGTATTGGGAATAATATTACCTGCCTCCTGAGGTTATTGTGAGAATTAAAGGAGAAAATGATCATATTTTTTTTTCTTTTTTTTTTTTTTGAGACAGAGTTTCACTCTTGTTACCCAGGCTGGAGTGCAATGGCGCGATCTCGGCTCACCGCAACCTCCGCCTCCTGGGTTCAGGCAATTCTCCTGCCTCAGCCTCCTGAGTAGCTGGGATTACAGGCACACGCCACCATGCCCAGCTAATTTTTTTGTATTTTTAGTAGAGATGGGATTTCACCATGTTGACCAGGATGGTCTCGATCTCTTGACCTAGTGATCCACCCGCCTCGGCCTCCCAAAGTGCTGGGATTACAGGCTTGAGCCACCGCACCCGGCTGAAAATGATCATATTATACCTAATACTATACCTGCTATGCCACAGGTCCTTCACAAATAATAACTATTACTCTTTAGAATAAATAGCTGTTGATTCTGCTAGAATGTATTTAAAAAAAAAATAAAATAATAAACAGCTGTAAGGCTTTGCATTTTCCTTTTAGCTTTGCAGTCATATAGTCTATGAAACACTGATGATAGTTTTCTATACCATATTTGTCTAAGGTTAACCTTTTTCTTGATTTTAGGTGACATCACTGAGTTGGACTTTCTTCTCTTTGCTCCTGGCAGTGTTCCCACTGATGCCGGTTGTAGGTCGAAAGCCAGACATCTCTCTAGTGTATGAATAATACTGTAATTTATTTTCTTTCAATACGGTTTTATTTCCCTCAATTAACACTGTGAAATTTGAACCTAATCTTGGTCATGAATTTAAAATCATGTGAACAAAAGGGAATTTGAAATACCAATAACAAACCATTAGTCATGATTTTGGCCTAGGTTCTGAGAGTCATTAAACCTCCTGAGAGATGCTTCGGGGCTTTCAAAATGAAATTGTGCCACTGATAACTTAAAATAGCACCCCCCTCACCTTTTTTTTTTGTTTGTTTATGTCTAGAACGTTTTATTTCTTTTATGCTTTGGGAAATCAGTGAAAGTTTTAGTTTCATATGAAAAAATATTCTGTGCCAAAACGAAAAGATCTCTAAACTACTATGTTAGCTCTCTTTGCTTCAATCCTGTTCACACTAAAATGTCATACAAAAATGAAATTTTCTCCTATTCTAAACTGATTGTAAAGCTCTCCATGGGAGGAAATTCTGTCTACCTTGACAACTTTCCCATGTGTAACCACTCAAATTATTTGAAAATTCTTCTGCATATCTTGCCTCAGTCCCTCACTATGCTGCTGTATTTATTTCTCTTCAATAGACCTAAGTAAATCTATAAATTAACTGGTTACCTTTGCTTTTAACTGCACTTTAAATTATTGTCAAGTAAAGTATGGGCTGTATGAGTGTGTGTATGATCATTATCTCATTTAACATTTCCTCTCGTTTCCAATCATGTAATCATCTTTGTTACTTTCTTTGGAACTCTATAAGCATTTTAAAAAACATTTTAGCCAAATCTGTAATGGATGAGGGCATATATTTTTAAATGAAGGAAGATTAAGTAAATGATACTTTGTAAAAATATGTGCTGATTTGTGAGGTTCTATACATTTTTTCCAATATGGAATAGATCAGGAATTACCCCAGGAAGTCAGTTTATTAGCAGAGCCCAAAATAGTTGTGTTGAATTCTAATACCATACTATCTAAGCCATACTTTATTACAGTGTTACTAAGTCAAAATATTTTGCAACTGTTGTAACCTATAAATAGTATGTGATAAAATGAATTCAAATATTTTCATTTGTTTCTTGCTTCAGATTGCTCTGTAAGGTCTTCTGTTGTTTCTATGAAGCCCCCTCCCCTTCATCTCTGCCTATTAGTCCTGCTCAAGCAGTATTGGCATCGTTGAACAGAATTTAGCATATGCTAAAAGGGAGGGAAATTGTATAAATTTGCCACTTGCATATTCTATTAAAGATGAATGTGGGAAGCAAATAAACTTGTTAAAATATGAGAAATCTAATTTATATTTTAGAAAATTATGTTGTTTTCCTCTAAATTTAAATTGCTCAGTGATTTTAAGTTTTTTCTACTAGCTATATTTGCAACTTATTTATTTTGATTCCTGGTTCATGGAGAAATTTGTATTTTTCTTTTTATCTGTCACAGCATCTCCCTCCTTTAGAAAATTACAAAGATGTCATTTTGTGAAACATTTAAGGATACAGTTAAAGGAAAAAGCAAACATGTACAGCATAGTTGTAATGTCTGTTACTCTAGTGTTCTAAAGTGAAAACATATTTGCCAATAAGTTTAAATATCAAATTGTTTTAAAAATTAAGAAAGAGAAAAAGGGCCAGGTGTGGTGGCTCACACCTGTAATCCCAGCACTTTGGGAGGCTGAAGCAGGTGGATCATGAGGTCAGGAGTTTGAGACCAGCCAGGCCAATATGGTGAAACCCTGTCTCTACTAAAAATACAAAAATTAGCTGGGCGTGGTGGTAGACACCTGTAATCCCAGCTACCAGGGTGACTGAGGCAGGAGAATCACTTGAACCCGGGAAGTGGAGATTGCAGTGAGCTGAGACCATGCCATTTCTCTCCAGCCTGAGCGACAGAGCAAGACACAGTCTTAAAAAAAAAAAAAGAAAGAAAGAAAAGAAAAAAAGAAAAAGAATTTTAATCATATGTGACTATTTTTTCCTAGATTTTAATATTAATCTATGTTGAATACGTAACTGCCTTACTCCTTATGATTCTCAAAGAGAGTATTTGAAGCATCAGAAACAAACAACCATTAAGCTTTTTCCTCAGAATTCCTGCCTTACATTCTTTTTAGGTGTCCAGCTCTGGCTTTTACTCTTTCTTTTTTCTCTTCAACCAAATTCTTTTCTCTTAGTTCTATTTGGGTTCAGTATTCTGTCCTCAGCATACTTTCGGCTGTGCCATCTTATTCAGATGTTGAGAAGGTGAGAAAGAGCTCAACAGTAGGGCACCATTTCTTTGGTATCAGTCACCGTTGACTTTAGGAAACATACTATACCTGGTGTTCTTGAAAGGTGTAATTTGTTGTTTCATTACTATACAAATGCCTTTCCTGCATGCCACCCATGTGACCACTGGCTACCCCTTCCCTCAGCCAGGGGCAGCTGAGGAAAATACCAAGGTCTGTCACAGAAGGGAGCTGTTTTTCCTGCTAAAATAATATAGGTTATATATGTAGATACTTTTTGTATGACTAAGTTTCATAGTCACAAAGTATACATTGTAGATGCTGATAATATACTTGTTAGCTGTCTTTTATATTGTAAATGTTTGTAAATTTGCCCAATTCAGGCTAAATATTATAGTACTTGGTATGCCTAAATTTTTTTAAATTAAATTATAGAAGTAAGGTAAAGATACTTTAAAAATTATGGGGAGAAGTTACAAATAATCCCTTCCAGCAGTATCTTTATCCTAAGATTTAAAGTTTTCTTAAAATCTTAAAATGTACCCATTTTGCTACCTCCTCTTGATTAAGCCAAATGACTGAGAGGTTCTGCATTAGAGTAGGTATCTCATGTTTCCATCTGATATGTTTTCAGTAAATATCTGAAGAAAACTTTAAATTGTATTTCAAAACAGGATGGGTGCAGGCTTGCTGGTTCTTCTGCTATCCCTGTATGTTGTAACATCTCTCACAAAAAGAAAAGATAGCTTTACAAAGGAGGAGCTATTGGTACATCTATTACAGGTCAGTTATAGATTTTCAATACTACGTTATACTAATGATACACCAAAATGTATCTTATGGTTATATTTAATTATGTTCATTAAATGCCGTTACCTTTATGCTACTCAGTATCTGCCAGCTGAGAAGAAAGCTTTCTGTTTAAGATGCTACATGGAAATGTGTTCTTTAAGAGGTATGAAATAGCAAAAGGTCATAAGAGGCAACCCAGTGATACCTGAAGAGCAGAGGTTACAGAAACTGTATTGACCAAAAAGTTGAAATGAAAAGGGCTTCCTCTGGACTGAGATTCTACATTGTCCTCATTTGGGTCAGGAAGGGTCACTTCTTTGAAGTGAAAGTAGCCTGGGGTATGTTTATATTAAGAATAGCCAGTTTAAGCCTTCAGTTAATGTCCCAGGTGAAAATAAACTTCAGCATGGTTGGTGGCTTTCTGTGGTGAAAATAACTTTGAACTTGACGTTTCAAAATTGAGTCCATTCCCAGTTATGCCGTATACTAGATGGACTTTCAGTTTGTGTTTTTTTCTTTTTATTTTTATTTTTTGAGACGGAGTCTCACTCTTGTTGCCCAGGCTAAGTGCAGTGGTGCAATCTCGGCTCACTGCAACCTCCGCCACCTGGGCTCAAGTGATTCTCCTGCCTCAGCTTCCTGAGTAGCTGGGATTACAAGCATGAGCCACCACACCTAGCTAATGTTGTATTTTTAGTAGAGATGAGGTTTTACCATGTTGGCCAAGCTGGTCTCGAACTACTGACCCCAGGTGATCTACCCGCCCCAGCCTCCCAAAGTCCTGGGATTACCGGTGTGAGCCACCACACCGTCACTTCAGTTTGTTTTTAATCTGTAGAGATAATATCTGATAGCATTATGACAGAGATTATATCATGTAATAGTCTATAAAATGACAATTTTTTCCATAGATAAGGATGGAAAACATCTGTTTTTCTTTTTAACTGACTAAATAAATAAATAACCACTTCTAGACCACAGACAAAAAGCAAAATTCATATGAGTCTTCTCAAAAAATTTCCTCAAGATCAAAGCTGGGAGAGTAGATGGTGTTTCCAAGAACACTCTGAAATAAAAATATGCAACATTTGAAAGATTACATCACAAGTTAAATTCATTCTTGGAGAGCAACAGGGACTTATAAAAAGAGAATAAATTTTTTTTGTCAAAAGTTCTATCAAGCAGTTGGAACATATGTTTCTTTTTAAATGGTACTCTGGCTTTACACTTAAGCCATAGCAGCTTTGACAGAATGTATCTAGAATAATGAGTCCTTTGACACAAGTGAATGTTTCTGAATCTCTCTCGAGGGGAACCAAGAATATCATGCTAAAATTCTTATGTGCTTTGTTAGACATACCCCTGAGTATTAGGTAACTCTGTAACAAATTCATTTTTGTGTTAGGTTTATTAACTTAGATGAGTTCCTATACTGTCTACTATATTTCATTGATTCCAAGATACACATTTTTTTTCCACATTTTAACATCTTAGAAACAAGAATGTCTTGCTAGTATATAATCTTTCACTACCTTCTCTTTTTTTAACCTATTTCATCTTTGTCTTCAGGTCCTGAGCACAGTGCTCTCCATGTATGTTGTGTATAGCACCCAGAGTAGTCTACTCAGGAAGCAAGGACTGCCTCTTAGGAATCAGATTATTAGCTGGGCAACATTAGGTAAGAGGCCACTCAAACCAAGTGAGGTAATTTGACATCAACTTAGTTACCTCAAAATGATCTGTTTATGTCTGCATCATTGTTATTGAAAGAAATAATTTTGTTGTAGGAAAATAATAATAACTGGCTATTAGTTCTCTATCTTGATGGAATTTAACAAAGAGATTCTTGTGTGCATGCATGTGTTAATACGATAAATTTATAGAATATTTATGACCTGATAATAAAGCTGTATATTTATTAACATCTGGTAAGAGTCTACTAAGCGATTCCAAAAGAGAATAGGGTGAAGAGAACCTTATGCTTCCTTTTCATGCCAGTTCATAAATTCTCCGTTCTTACACAGGGACTGGGAAATGGTTAACTTTTATCTGTTTCCCTTCCTAAAAATAACATCAACTAGTACAAATTGCATACTCTGTAAAGCTAATTAGACATTTGAACGCATATTATTCTATGTAGTCCTCTTAATTAAGAATGTTGGAATATATGTGTGAAGCAAACATGTAATTTAAGGACTTACGTTTTCCTTTCCATTTGGAAGACAAGAGCAAATTTTGAGTCCAGGTTTTTTTTGTGTGTGTTTTTTTCTTTCTTTTTTTTTTTTTTTTTTTTTTTCCAAAAAAGGCATTGTAATGCCTGTGAAAATTTGACATCCGCTGTAACTTTAACATCTTTTGACGACTTTTGTCGTTTGGGTCATGGAGGCCCACCCCTCATGAATGGCTGTACTAACTTACATTCCTACCAACAACGTACAAAGGTTCCCCCTTCTCTACATCATTGCCATCATTGCTACTTTTTTTCTTTTTGATAATAGCAATTCTAACTGGGGTGAGATGATATCTTATTGTGGTTTTGATTTGCATTTCTTTGAAGATTAGTGATAGTGAATACTTTTTTTCATATAGCTGTTGGCCATTTATATGTCTTCTTTTGAGAAATGTCTACTCAGATCATTTGCCCATTTTTTAGTTGGATTAATAGGTTTTTTGCTGTTGAATTGTTTGTGCTTGTAATATATTCTGGTTATTAATCCCTTGTCAGATGGGTAGTTTGCAAATATTTTCTCCCATTCTGTAGGTTGTCTCTTCACTCCATTGATTGTTTTCTTTGCTATGCAGAAGCTTCTGAGCTTGATATAATCCCATTTGTCTACTTTTGCTTTTGTTGCCTGTGCTTTTGAGCTCTTAACAGAAACATCTTTGTCAGACCAGTGTCCTGAAGTGTTTTCCCAATAGTTTCTTCCAGTAGTTTTGTAGTTTCAGGTGTTACATTCAAGTTTTTAATCTATTTCGAATTGATTTGTTTTTAGTGGTGAGAGATATGGGTCTTATTTTACTGTTTTGATTTTGGATATTCTATTTTCCCAGCATCATTTATTGGAGACACTGTCATTTCCTCAATGTATGTTCTTGGTGCCTTTGTCAAAATGAGTTGGCTATAAATGTGTGGATTTATTTTTGGGTTCTCTGTTCTGTTCCATTGGTCTATGTGTCTGTTTCTATGCCATGCTGTTTGGGTTACTATAGCTTTGTAGTATATTTTGAAGTCATGACTTCATGATGCCTCCAGCTTTGTTCTTTTTTTTTAAAGGCTCAGGATTGCTTTGGCTATTCAGAGTCTTTTGTGGTTCCATATGAGTTTTAGGATTTTTTTTTTTATTTCTGTGAAGAATATCATAATTTTTATTTTATATACGTGGTGACTATGTTGTTTGAAGCAAAATGTTTATAACTATTACATTATCATTGTGGATTGTCACTTTTAACATCATAAAGTGTTCTTCTTTGCCTATTGTTTTTGGTCTAAAGTGTGCTGTGGTATCAGGATTGCAACTTTAGATTTCTTACTGTTTCCATTTGCCTTTATTTTAGCCTTTTTGAATCACTGTGTTTTAAGTTTGGTTTCTGTATTCTGCATAGAGTTAGGTTTTGCCTTATGTGCCAATTCCACAATTTTTTTTCTTTTAAGTAAAATGATGAGTTGAGCTCATTCATGTTTACTAATATGACTCTTGAGCTTGTTCTCAAGAAGTGTAGAAAATACTGCATAATGTGTAAGTGTGCTCTACTACAACAAATTGAAGATTCTGTCAAGAAGATTCTGTCAAATCTTATTATGTTGTAGTAGAGCAGGCATATATATTATGCAGTATTTTATATGTTTCTTTCTCTATTTGGATTATCCTATATGATTTTATTTATTGTCTTTATTGATTTGATTATTGTTTTGGAACGGTGAGGAGGAGATTCAGAATAGGTTTACTGCTATTGTTCTCCAAACATGAAAGCTTCTCTGGGCATGTATTTTAAACAAGATTTTTGCTCGTTGGGATTGGTAGAGCTAGGTTCTAGAGGATACCTATCAAATGATGAAATAGTTGACTCATAGGTAAGTCATCAGTATCTCCAAAGATCTCTTCTAGGCACAGATACACCATGATCTAACTCTAATGAGCATTTTTGCTTACTATGCTGTGATCTCAAAATGGATGTTATGTTTTAAAATTGGTTCTACTTATGTCACTTAGAATAGACACTCTTATTTCTCCTTTAGTACCTTATCAATCATTTAGACAAAAGTAAACAAGGAGAGAAAATATATACAGTTTTACAGAAGAGGTCTCATTTGAACCGACTTTTATTTTTTGCTTTTTATTTTTTAGCAACCATCATTTGCCCAACAGAGTAACTGACTTTTAAAATCAGACATATTGAAGTGTTATTTCTTCCAGTTAAAATATGTATCAATTGATTATGATTGAAACTATACATCTGGAAAACGTCAGAAGATATTCATCTAAGAGTATTATAAATGTAACTTCATAGTCTTAAATCTTGCAGTGACTTTACTTTAGATAAAATTCACATTACATTTAGATAAAATTGACATTACAATCAACATTACAAGATGTTGACTAATAATAATAACAGCAGCTAACAGTTACTAGGCACTGTGTGCTAGCACTATGCTCAGGGAATATTGTATAGGTAAAATTGTATTTAATCGTCACAACTTTTTAATGTTATCTCTATTTGACAGGTGGGTAAATTTCTGCTTAGATCAGTTAACGAACTTGCTGTACAGTTTAAACAGTTAATAAGTGATTCAGCCAGGATTTCATCCCAGCTTGTCTATCTGCATACTCTAGAGCACTAGGGAGATGAGGAAGTTACATACATTTCCTTCCCAGAATAGAGATGGAGGAGTTTACGTTTTGCCACTCCACCTTCTTCATCTGCCCTTCCTCCACTGGGGTAGTTGCTTTTATTATCCTGGGTGAGAGTTAATACAACTTTCATGCATGGTGAAGTCATTCTTGTTTCTCTTTTCCAAGGGGCATACTACAACTGCCAGTGCATACTTTACAGTGGGAAAACTTGGAGAAGGATGAGGTTAGGAAAAATCAGTTTCTGAGGAGTAAGTTGTCTTTGAACTAAGATATAAAGGTCTAATTAAGCAAAGCGTGCTAAATGTTGAGTAATAATTTTATTTCAGTAGAAAATTATTTATGAGTTAATATTATTACAGTAGTCTTGGCTGAATATGAATTGAGAAAATCTGAGCATAGTTAAAACAATGCAATGTAATTTTAATTAAAAATGTGAGGCCTGATTATGATTAGAGCAAATGTAGCCTCATATTCAAGGTCACACAAACAGTAGATGCCATAAATGATACTAGATTATTCAGGGCTTCTACACTAACATTTATGTATGTATGTATATATGTATGTATGTATTTGACATAGAGTTTCACTCTTGTCACCTAGACTGGAGTGCGGTAGTGCGTTCTCAGCTCACTGCAACCTCTGCCTCCCGGGTTCAAGCGATTCTCCTACCTCAGCCTCATGAGTAACTGGGATTAGAGGTGCACACCACCATGTCTGGCTAATTTTTGTATTTTTAGTAGAAACAGGGTTTCTACTAAAACAGAGTTTTCTATCTCTACTAAAAATAGGTAATAAAGGAGAAGTAAGAGTCTCTATTCTAAGTGACATAAATAGAACCAATTTTAAAACATACCATCCATTTGGAGATCATAGCATATTAAGCAAAAATGCTCGTTAGAGCTAGACCATGGTCTAGCTGGTCTCAAACTCCTGACCTCAGGTGATCCACCTGCCTCAGTCTCCCAAAGTCCTGAGATTACAGATGTGAGTCACTGCCCCCGGCCCTACACTAACATTTTTTTGTGTGTCTCTTATACTGACAGATGATCTGTTTTGTTTCATTGCAGCCTCTTCCTTGATTGTGCCACTACTGAGTTCTCCAGCTCTCTTTCAGCGATTGTTCAGCATACTTCTTTCATTGATGTCAACCTACCTACTTCTAAGCACAGGGTATAAACTTGTTAACAATTTAATTTTATAGCAGCAAGTTTTAAATGATACATTGATATTTTCTCTGTTAATATTTAACTTCTAGAAATGAAAAATGCTTTCTAAATCTTGAGGAGTAAGTTATAAATATTTTCTTTTCTGTAAGAACTGTATTTGACTTGATCTATAATCTTTTTTCTTTTTTTATCCATTTCATAGTATTGCTTGCTGTCTTTGTCTTTTTCTTTTCTAAAGTTGCTAAAATATCATTAGACTATAATGTTAGAAAATTTTGATTATGGAGGAATTTTAAGTCTCAATGACTTATATTTTTTGTTGACATTCCTCTATTTATTTTAAATTATGCTTTGATTTGTCCATTCTTCTTTGGATATAGTATTTTTTTAATCTTACACATGTCACAACTAAAATATTAGTTTGATTCAGAGAAACTTCAGAATATTTTCCCAAAACTCAAAGATTTATTTCTATTTTAGTTTGAAATTTTTCTTACCAAAACAAAACAAAACAAAAAATCAGCAGCTTGACTTGGGATGAATCCCGACATATTTTCTGGAACTCACTGAAGACAGGATATACTCTATTAACTTTGAAGAATTATTTTCTTGCTTTTGAATTTCATCCTTGCTTAAATCTTTATAAGGGTAAGGAATGTGCACATTGTAACAAACAAAGTGAATAAGCACCACTCATAAACAGTTTGAACTTTGGCCAAATAGAAAGTCTTCATCAAAGTTAGATTAAACCTAGGGATTCACCAGTGTCTATCAGATTATTCACAGTTTAAATGATTTTGTAAAGTCGTTTGGGGTCCAAGGCTCAGGTTCTCCCTTTTGGAAACTTAGTTGTCATAGTTCAAAATTAGAGAGATGTTCTCAAAGTCTTTTCATAGTAGACCCTAACACCCTAAGTGACCTAGACCCTCAGAGTTCTTGTAGTCTCAAATAAGAGATAATCCAGTGGGGCCCTAAACCTCTTTTTTTCACCAAAGCTGTCTATCTCCTTTCATTTTCTTTCCCCCTGCCTAGCCAGATGTGGGCCACAGCTCTGAAGATATGATACAAATGTCATGGAAATTTTTACCAGTTACCTAACTAGATTTTAGGATAGGCTTTCTTTGAGATTTAGACCTTTGAAATAGAACTTCAAAATAAAACTGGAAATCTATGAGCATCAAGAGTGACGAACATCATGAGAACTTAAAATCCTTCAGTTTTTCCCCTTTATTAGTGAAATTTCAGGATAAATAATTTTGTTATATTAGAATCTACAAGAGTAAAAATGAATTCGATTATACACAAGTTTTTAATCTATGTAAAAAAACAGAGCTTAAAATAATTTCTTTTCTAACCGACCATTTCAGGGAGACTCATGAGTTTTATTAAGAGATCACACCCAGAGGTTGACTTAAGGAAATAAATGTGTGAAAGTGTCCAGAAGTATGGACTAACTTTTGTACAGTCTCTTCATAGGCCCTTCTCTTTTTTGAACCTTCAAATTCTAAAGCAATAAACAGATTTAAAGGGATGTATAGTTGATTAAAAAGTATAAACAAATATAAAAATAGATCTGATTTGCTGGATTAGAAAAGGAGAGAAAGAAAGGATAACTGAAGTTTAATTTTGAATGAAAATACTATTTCATAATACAGCGTGAGTTAATCATGTAACTTACATTGGGGATAAGTATTTTAAATCATCAGTTTAATAGTCATAAGAAATGCCAAAACAAATTATCATAATAAGCATAATCATAACTTATTTTAAGAAAATCTAAAAAGTGAAAATTTTATACCTAAAATAAGAATACCAATGCACGATATGACCTTATTAATGAATTCATTAAGAGGTATATTATTCAACATCAGAAAGTGTATCTAGCTTTGCCAAAAAAATTAGAAGGAGTATCTTGAAATAGCACAGTTCAGTAATTTCAATCTGTACATTTTCTTAGTGTCAAATCAGTTTTGCAAAACATAGGCCACTTGTTATGAATCAGTCTGACCATTTTGGATGACCCAGAGGATTCTCTGTGTAAATTAGTAAATATTCAAAATTACAGAATAGTTAAAAGAAATATAGTTATACTATAATACAGAAATACAGCAATAGTAATCCTAAATTCTTACAATGCATCCTTGATTTAATGAATAAAGAAGATTTATTTTTAATCGGCACTTAATTATTTTTATGCAAATGGAATGGTTGTAATACTTGAAAATGGTTTGTTCTCTTGGTTAAAGTTGGTTAAACATTTTCTTTTGAAATTTTCTTTGCATTATCCCTTTCCTTAGCAAACTGTAATACAAAGCTAAATGCCTTGTCAGCCCTGTTCAATTTGCACAGAGACCAAACCAGCAGATCCTAATTTAGTAAGTTTTCATTATGTTCTCCCTGAGCCTGTGATGACATTTCATTGATATTTCAGTTTATTAATGCAGATATACAGACTTTATACAAAACATTGATTGTTTTAAGAGATAAAGTCCCATAGGAGGATTATCTTTATCTGATTTATTCATCTACATTTTACAAAAGAAAGTGATCATAATGTATAGTTTTTGAAAGGAAATAAGTCTGTAACACTATTTGTTGATCTATGATATTTATGTTTTGAATTGTTAGGAAACAATAAATTCATATAAAACTGCAAATCTTTAAAAAAATTATGAGCCCCTTTTGTTCAGAGTATGTACCTTGATTCAGTTAATCAACATTTTTTTTTTCTTTCATATCTCCAGTGTCCAGAGCACTATGCAGACACACAAGGGAAAATCATGAGTGTACTACTGGTATACAGTAGGGTTATAAGCTGCTATAAAATAACTATATTTTACAGTGTTAGACAATTGTAAAATCAAACAAGTTGCTGTGAGTTAATGAAGTTGTGAATTGTGTGATATAAAGACTGACTAGAGAAAGAACTTGAATAGGGAAGCTGAGTTAATGCCATCAAGGACTCATATGGATGTTAAACTGAACTTTAAAGAAAGGCAGGCAGGATACAAGCTTTCTAAATCTTTGTTTTTCAATTTTAAAAAAATCATTGGAAAAATAGTGTCATAACATTATGGAAAGTAGGGATAAGGGATGAAATCACGTATTTACTCTTGCTAATGTTCTGGTATATTTCTTTCCAGTGTTACCTCTGTGTTTGTCTTTTTAACATAAAATTAATTGCAGTATGTGTTCTATTTTCTATCTTTTTTTTTTTTTTTTTTTTTTTGAGATGGAGTTTCGCTCTTGTTACCCAGGCTGGAATGCAATGGCGCGATCTCGGCTCACCGCAACCTCCGCCTCCTGGGTTCAGGCAATTCTCCTGCCTCAGCCTCCTGAGTAGCTGGGATTACACGCACACGCCACCATGCCCAGCTAATTTTTTGTATTTTTAGTAGAGACGGGATTTCACCATGTTGACCAGGATGGTCTCGATCTCTCGATCTCGTGATCCACACGCCTCGGCCTCCCAAAGTGCTGGGATTACAGGCTTGAGCCACCGTGCCTGGCCTCTATCTTTTTTTCTAATTAACATTTTAGAAGCATTTTCTAGGTGGCTCATAGGCTTCCTAGCCACTGTTTTAATAGGTATTTAATATTTTATTATATGGATTTTATTTCAACTTTTTATTATCACAAATAATTTTTTAAGTTATGTTTTTATGCATAAGCTTTTTAATTAGTCAAGATTATTTCCTTTGTTCACTTCTCAGTATAGTGTACGTGGGCCATTGGGTTCATTTCTTTTTTTAACTTATAATCGTCTTAAGAAGAGTACCAATTTATAATGTCTACAACAAACTATGAGGTCTATGATTTCATCATATCTGTAATAGTATTTGGTATTTCCATTTTTAAATAAGAAAATCAAAATGTTATATTAACAGGCCAAAAGTGGTGCTGCTTTAAACAGTTTTCTGTGCTTGTTTTACTCCTATTTTCTCATGTGTATAGTATCTGTTCATATCTATGGACCTTCTCAGTCTTATATACCAAGTGATTTTTGTATGCATTCTGAAACCGGAATCTTTCCTTCCATCCAGTCTTCAATGTTGTAATTTTATAATCTGTAAAAGTGTTTAAAGTGTTTGGAGGTTTTTTGCTTTCTCATGTTTAGGAAATAGTGCCATATGCTGTAGGGTTCGGTAGCTGAAAGAATCAAAAAGGAAATAATGTTTGGTTTTGGTTTGTAACTTCTGATTAGATGTATAATTGACTCAACAAATACTTGTGAACTAGGCCAGCAGTGGTGAAGAGACAGACACAGACTTGGTTTTCAAAGATTTTATAAAGTATAATAATAGACGCATACAAGTACACCTGTGATTAAGACAGTTATAGAGCATTTAGGGATTATGAAGGTGGAACACTTAACCCCAAACAAAGCAGAAACTGTTTAGAAAAGGCTTCTATCACTGTGTTGTCTCATGAGCATTTCTTCTTTGTTTTTGTGTTCATTTTACACCGCAGCCTGTAGGTGTACTACACATTTAATCATTCCCCTGTGGACATATAGGTTGTTTTCTGTTTCCCCCTTCCATGAACAATATTACAGCAGATATTTTTATTTATTTTTTTAATTGCATTTTAGGTTTTGGGGTACATGTGAAGAACATGCAAGATTGTTGCATAGGTACACACATGACAGTGTGATTTGCTGCCTTCCTTTCCCTCACCTATATCTGTCATTTCTCCCCATGCTATCTCTCCGCACCTCCCCACCCCCCCCGTGCCTCCCCCATTTCCCCCCAATGGACCCCAGTGTGTAGTGCTCCCCTCCCCGTGTCTGTGTGTTCTCATTGCTCAACACCTGCCTATGAGTGAAAACATGCGGTGTTTTACTTTCTGCCCTTGTGTCAGTTTGCTGAGAATGATGGTTTCCAGGTTCATCCATGCCCCTACAAAGGACACAAACTCATCGTTTTTGATGGCTGCATAATATTCCATGGTGTATATGTACCACATTTTCCCTGTCCAGTCTATCATCGATAGGCATTTGGGTTGGTTCCAGGTCTTTGCTATTGTAAACAGTGCTGCAATGAACATTCGTGTGCATGTGTCCTTATGGTAGAATGATTTATAATCCTTTGGATATATACCCAGTAATGGGATTGCTGGGTCAAATGGGATTTCTATTTTTAGGTCCTTGAGGAATCGCCACACTGTCTTCCACAATGGTTGAACTAATTTACACTCCCACCAACAGTGTAAAAGTGTTCCTATTTCTCCACACCCTCTCCAGCATCTACAACAGATATTTTTATAATGTACATTGTGGCACGTGTCTGATTGTTTTCTCAGGGTAAATTTTTAGAAATGCCCTTATTGCATTATAGTGTATGAGTATTTTCGAGGTTCTTGATACATACTATCGAACGGTTTTCAAGAAAGTGTATATTCCTTTGGCAGGAGTGCAGTGGCACAATCTCAGCTTACTGCAACCTTGGCCTTTTGGTTTCACATGATTCTCCTGCCTCAGCCTCCTGAGTAGCTGGGATTATGGATGTACACCACCACACCCAGCTATTTTTTGTGTGTTTTTAGTGAGACAGGGTTTCACTATATTGGCCAGACTGGTCTCGAACTCCTGACCATGTGATCCACCCACTGCAGGCTCCCAAAGTGCTGGGATTACAGGCATGAGCCACTGCGCCCGGCCAGCACTGTTGTTATTTTGATATTGGCAAATATGGTATGTCACCATTGTTTTAATTTCCCTATCAGTTATCAATAAGGTCAAACATAATTTTCATGTTTGTGTTTTTGTTGCACCCTTTTTTTTAAATTTAGAATGTTCTTCTTCCTCTTCTATGTATGTTAATAATTTTACCTTAAGAATTATCTTTTTACCTTTGTCTTCATGTCTTTATCTTTTATGTGTACCTGTCATTTGCTTTATGAATGGCTTTTCTATATTTGTTATTTTAAACACATAATTATCTCAAGATTTTATATCACTCAGAAAAGATGATATTGGAGTTAAAATTTAAATATTACTTTCCTACTTTCTTTTTCTGAAAAGCCAAGAAAATTTAAATTCTGAAATATTGTGACTTAGAAGTATTATGAAATTATTTTGATTTTGAGAAAGAGCTCAGTGTAGATTTGCATTTTTACTTATGTTACTATTTTTTTCTTTTTATTTCTACCTTTCCCCGCCTGTTAGGTATGAAGCTCTCTTTCCACTAGTATTGTCTTGTTTAATGTTTGTCTGGATAAACATAGAACAAGAAACCCTACAACAATCTGGTGTTTCCTGTAAACAGAAGGTAACTGGTCAAAGTCTTTGTTGTTTTTATTTGAGAATATTAAAGTAGTCTCTATCCTATAAGGAAGTTGCAATGTTATTTCAAAAATTTAAAAAAATTCTTTCTACTTAAAATTTTGGTGTTAAAAAATTTTAGTTGTTTGACATTAATAATTAGGTTAACCTTAATAATTGGTAAGGAATATTTTTTACTTATCACAGAAAAGCACAATTTTATTGTTGTATAGGTTGGGCTTTATTAGTGATTACTTGAGAATCATTGATTTTAAAAAAACATCAGTATAAGTGAAGGAATAGAGAAAAGAATGACCTTTATCTTATTTTCTTTATATTTCACATTCAGTTTTTCCTTCTGTCAACTTATCTTAGTCACAATAATTTTTATGTTGTCACAAGTCAATTTATGAATTTTATTATAAGGTGGCATTTAAGTTCCTATTGTTTTTCTCTTTCTGGTCATCTTAATCCAAACTGCTTATTCAGCTGCCTTAATGATTGTGGCCTCAGTCCAAATCTTAGACTGTTTATGCAACACATAATACTTTGAATTGGCTAAAATCCAACCAGTTTTTAAGGATACCTTTATCGTGATGGGCTACAGAGAAAATTGATGTTTCCTGTCTTATTTAGAGCTGATGGTAATTCTGAGAAATTGGTGATAGAATATTTACAATTTTACTAAGGTTAGATAAAATGAATATTACAGAAAATAGCTTCATAGTTGATCTATCCTTATCTAGTTCCAGTTGAGTTTGTAGATTATAATTCATAATTCAGAATGATTAATTTTAATAAAGAAGAAACTTTATTGAGGCATATTTAATAATTACTGGTTTTAAACTTTTAGTTTTTGAATATTAATACTAGAAAAGCAGTTTTGAGCAGATTCATGTAAATACTCAGAAATTAGCCTTAATGTTAAATATTTCATCAGGCTGAGGATTATTGTGTTACTTTTAAAATTCTGTGTTTTTAATTAAAAGCAAATGTATCTCTTTCTAGAAAAGAGTATTAAAACATCCCAAGAACTTACTAGAAAATTACATGGGGAGTAGGAGTGGGGAAAGTCTACCTTTAAATTCACCCATTAGCAGTTCTATTTTGGGAGGGAGATTAAGCATGAATGCACTCACCTTGTTGGATTGAGTGACTTTCTATTCTACTAAAGACAGGAATATGTTACTTTTTAAAACAAACAAACAAACAAACTCTGCAAGTAGAATTAATGGAGGGACAAATAAATATTTAATTTTACCATGCCTTTTAATATGATAACATATCTAGGTTTAAGATGATCAGGGCACTGAGAAATTAGTCTTCGAAAAGGGAAGAATTATATAGGGTTTTTAAAATGAAGCATTTATATAAGAAAAGAAAAAGCTCAATTCTCACTTTTATTACACATATAGCAATACTACAACTGTGTTGTGTATTTTATTAGCAACATATTTTATCTTTTGACAGATTAAGCCCTAGAGAAAGATTTATTGTTGATTTTTTTGTTGTTGTTAGCACAGGACATGTTTCTAGCCGTTGTAAGTTTGCCTTCAAATATAGAAATAAGCCAACTATTACTGTGCATTAATATTTTTCTTATTACCTCATAGCTTACTAGTATCCAGTTCTCTTATAACACTGATATAACTCAGTTTCGGCAGCTGTGTCTGGATGACATCCGTAGGGCCTTTTTCCTTGTATCCTTTGTTGAGGCTTTGGTTTGAAGAGCTGTAACTCCCACTTAATGGAGTAAGAAGACATGGAAGATATTTCTGCCCATCACTTAATAGTGTTATTACGTAGTTTAACCTCTCTCAACTATAGTTTTCTCACATAATTCACATTAAAAACATTTTTTTAACTATAGAAAAGTCTAAAAAATGATATATATGTGTATATAGTCCTGCTATTCAAGATATTAACCATGAGTATTTTGTCACGTTTTTTAAAAATGTGTTTTTAAGAAGTTAAAACATTAGAGCTAAAGCTAAAGTCTTTCAACTCCTGAATTTAATTTCTCTCACTGAAAGAAACCACTATTATGAGTTCATATCTTTTTATGTACACTTTTTTCTAAACTCATGTTACATAACATCTGTCTCACAAAGGTTTTTGGATCACCTCAGAGGCAATGTTTTGAAAGTTGTTAGTAGTAGAAGTTTGAAAGACAGGTGACAGAGGCAAGTCTTAGTTTGGAAAGGCTGACTGACTAGCTGGAAGAAATCATAGGGATATATTTCCTTTATTTTATTTTATTCAGCTTCATTGAGGTATAAGTGACAAAAAATTGTATATATTTAAGGTATATATTTTGATGTTTTGAGATACATATATGTCTATTTATTCACACATTGTAAAATAATCACCACAATTAAGCTAATTATCATATCTATTGCCTCAAATACTTACTGTTTTTTCTTTGTTTCTGTTTTTGCAGTAAGAACACTTAAGATCAACTCTCTGGGCACATTTCAAGTGTACAGTACAATATTACTGACTACAGTCACCATAGTGTACATTTCACCTCCAGACCTTACTCATCTTGCATAACTGAAACCTCCTATCTTTTCACCAACATCTCCCCTTTTCCCTCCTCCACTCAGTCCCTGGCAACCTTCATTCTGCTCTCTAAGTTTGACTATTTTACCTTTGCCAGCTGTAGGAGTTCCTCATATGTTTTGGTTATTAACCCCTTATCAGTTATATGGCTTGTTAAATATTGGTGGTAATTTCTTTGAGCTTACCATGGTACGGAGTCTAGACCTCTCAGGTACAGAAAATAAATATTCCTTCCTCTCTGTCTCTTGCTTTCTGTCTGTTTTGCTTTCTTTCTCTCTTTATAGATTCCTTTGTATCAGCTAATACTAATAAAGCACTTTACCCATTGAACCTTGTATTTCCCTAAATTAAAATTTCATCTTATCCTTTCTGTTTAAGTTTTTGAAAGAAAAATGTATAGTTGGTGCCATTATTTTCTCTCCATATATATATATATATATATTATATCCACAAGCCTCTGACAACATGTGGCACATAGTAGTACTCTATCAATATTTGTTAGCTGTCTCTGCTGAAGTTGTACTGTCATGGGTCTGCAGGGGCTTCCTGATCACTTCAGTCTATTCCATTTACCTGGCCACACTTTGACATTCAACTCTGTTTTCTCTTTCTTTTCCCTTCACATCCAGGACACAGTACAAGTTTTCTGCTAAGCTTTTTATATCATTTCTATTCTTCCTCTCTAAAACTACTTCCTTTGCCTGATGTTCAGCCATATTTTTTTCTCCATTCTCCACCATTAACCTTCTCTTATTGTGCCTGGTTTATGCCATATTTTCTTGTAACTTGGGTAGACACTTCTGTGCAAACAACTCAAAGATGTGTTTTTCCAGACCTTTCTCCTGACCTCAAGAACTACATGTCTGACATTCTGCTGGGCATCACCAAATATGTGTCCCAAACTGACTAACAACTGCCGCTCCTCTTCCAAGTCACTTTCTCTGGTAGGGCTTATCTCATTTAATGGCATCACCATACTCCCAGTCCCCAAGACGTCCAACTTGTTGTCATATTTAACTGCTCCTTGTCCACTTCTGAAGTCCCTGTGTCTCCCTTCACTCTTGATTTTCATTCCTCCTGCATCAGTTAACACTGCCTTATCTCTAACATGGACTACTAAAATTGCTTCCAACTTAAATTTTCTGCCTCCAATTATTTGTCTCCCTTATCTGAATATCACACAGTCACTGGTGTTTCTTGATTATAACACTAGCCTAAAAGATTTGCTACTCTTCGCTGTATGCACAATAAAGTTCATGCTTTTTATTAATATGCCAGCAGTCTGTATTTCTTACTTCATCTTTCACCATATCCTACAATAAAATCTAACCTCCTATCTATCAAGGCTTTTTACTTTTTCTTGGTGATGTCATTTTTTTCTCACTCTTCTTTACCTTAAAATGTCTCTCCTCTATTTCTGTCATCATATCTTAGTCACCATTTGAGTATTTTGAGACTATTTTATTTATATTTATATTTATATTCTTAGTGCCTGTCCCTGTCTCTGACATATACTAGACAATAAACTTTGGTTGGTTAGATGATTGGTTGAATCACTGAATTCATGAATACATTTAAGGCTCAACTCACCAACTTAAATGCCTCTTTTTCACTGAAAATTGTCATGATTCATACTTCCTCTTCAGTGTTGCCTCACCATTTTTTGTGTGTGTCTATAGTAATAAAATAGCTTACACTTATCAGTCCCTTTCAGTGGGCCAGGCACCATTTTAAGAGCTTTACTAGCAATAGGTTCTTGGACACTAAGATTAATATCAATGTTTTATTGCTTTACTAATACAAATATAAGTTTAAGAAATGTCAAAAAGATGTTCAGCATTTTCTCACGTGTCATTCTATATTGAATTATTTTAAAACATGGTATGTTGTTTCTTTCTGAGCCTTTCAAGCAGTCTAGCATGTGTTTAACATGTGGTGGGCATACAGCAAGCATATATAGACTATAACCATGCCTTTCAGCTGAAAATATCTATGACATACACTAGATCTGCATTTTTCTTTTGAAAAAATTGTTAGCAGCCAACTACAGACGTGGTCCACCTTGCTCATGTTAGAGAAGAGGATAATAACCTTCCTAAGGTTACTAGGGACTGAGTGAGGGTGACCTCTCAGGCCTCATTGTTCTCAGTACACTGCCTCTTCAATCTGGTTGTTTTAAAATGCATTCACAAGGAGATATAATGGAATGTTCATTGAAAACAATCCGTGGTCAGTGTACAAGTAAACAAGCAAATTACTCTCAAGGTAAAATTAGCGTATCTTTTCTAAATGAAAAGGAAATTTGTGTGAAATCTGAGTAGTTTTGCTATTTCCTTGACTCCCTTTAGGTTTTCTTCTTAGTGACAGCATTTTTTGGAACTGGAAATATAGCTTCTATTAACAGGTAATTTTAAATGAAAGTGGCATATATATATAACCGAAAAATAATGCAATCTGGGGCTTCTATATCTTTTTTTCTGTACCTTACTTTTTATACTGAATGATATATTTTGGAGATTGGTATGTATTGACACGTTCAGATCTACTGCGTTCATTTTAGTGGCTTCATAATACGATGTTTGCTTGTGTTTTAGTAAGTAGATTTCAGAGAATTAGTTAACATCCTTTTTAGAAGAACATTCTTTTAAAGTTACAGAGTGAATTCTAAATCCTTTTTCCTTGTTATAATTCCCTAGCTTTGATCTTGCCTCTGTCTATTGCTTTCTGACTGTGTTCAGTCCTTTCATGATGGGATCCCTGATGATGTGGAAGGTTAGTTTTCTTATTTTGTTATTTGTATTAAGCTATCGATTGATTAAGATTATGAAATTATTGTGACATTAAGGTTACAGAGTCATTTAGACAGAGTTAAATAGCAGTGGAGAGAAGATACCCTTTCAGAGGTGGCACTGCTAAACCGGAGGTAAGAACTCTATCCCTTACTCCAAACCACAGTTAATCTTTTTGCTTTACTCATAAGTCCATTTGACTTCAAGAGAGTGGGAATTCCATGTTAATTTAGGAGGATCTTATCAGATCTGATTAAAGCTTTTTAGGAAGCCATGGATCACACTGCAGTGCCGCTAAAGATTATAAGGTTCCCTGAATCCGTGTTCTCTCCCCATGAGATTGCCAACGTAATCTTTCTCGTAATCCATGTACCTAAAATTGACTGATTGATTCAACAAATGTGTCACTTTGTGCTACATTTAGTAAAGTACCAGATACTATCTGGGTGCTGCCAATACAAATATGACAATTCTCAGCTTTCCAGGGGTTCACATTCTTCATTAGAATGTAATTCATGTTCTTTTTCTCAAAGATCATTATGTTTGTTTTATTCCCTTTACCATAATGCCTGACACATTTCACTTAGTATATACTTGTTTAAATAAAATAAACTGATACTTCCCTAAAATCCAATTACCTAATGTTCAGATTCATAAATAATAATAAAGGTGTGTGTCATCTTAATAGAATTAATGTCTACTTTTTGTTACTATGCTAATACAAATGGAAGTTTCAGATATGTTTTAAAAAAATGTCCATTTTCTCATGTCCTGTTCACTATTATTTTGAAACATTTTACTATTTCCTCAATTTTTGTTCACATTTTAAAATGGTGATTGTTTTTTCCCAGTTTATTAAAGACCATGGGCCTTTAATTAAAAATGAAAGAAAGAAAGAAAGAAAGAAGGAAGGAAGGAAAAGAAGGAGAGAGAGGGAGAGGAAGAGAGAGGAGAAAGAAAGAAGAAAGGAAGGAAGGAAGGGAGGGAGGGAGAGAGGGAGGGAGGGAGGGAGGGAGGGAAAGAAAGCTCCAATTAGAATGCTAGGTTCTTAATCTCCAGCACAATGTAGTAAGCTTTAATGACATCATACACTTCATGACTTTTGTTGACTGATGTGTCTGGAAGTGAGGGCCCTGCTGAATTCTATTTTATTCATATGTCCTTCACTTGAAAAAGAACTTGATGCAGTCTTGAACATCATTTATTTTCCTTACCTTTCCCTTTTTTGAAGCATCAAGTTATATATATTTTTCCAAATTGATCATTGAAAAGCAATACCTCAAGATACTAACAGTATTAGCTCTGGATTATGGATTTTCAACTAGCATATATTTTACTATACCTTTATTTGCAATTTTTTAATATATTTTTTCAAATTTGTTATAATGAGTGAATTTTATAATCATAAATAAATTCGTATTAAAAAATAAGCAATGATTAAGAAGCTGAATCATGTTTATAATGTTATAGTTTTAAATAACCAGATGGGTTCAAGGATCTGTGAATCAAATTATCAAGTTATATAGTTTATTTGATTTGGGCATTCTGTGCTTTTCACACCCTCTTGGAATATTTTGAAAATTGTTGTTAATTATTAGAATGCATTAAATGGAACAAAATTTGTAATAGGCTTTTATTTGGAATATGTATTGATGTTTGCTGTCTTTTACATTGTATTGCTTATTAATGTAGGTTTTTAAGTCAGTTTCATCACTGTACCATGTATCATTGGTATCATGCTTTTATTTCAGTGTTTGCTTTTTGCTAGAATATGTAAAAGTTACTTGAGACATTGACAATATTTCTGTAAGCAGAAACAGTATTGTTTTGAAAAAGTATTTCAAATGCCTCAGTTATTCATGGCATCGTTTGTTGTTCTTTTAAACAGATTTTAATCCCCTTTGTTCTTGTTATGTGTGCCTTCGAAGCAGTTCAGTTCACTACTCAGTTATCGTCAAAAAGGTAAGATGAATCGGTTTAATAAACATTTGATTTGCCAATTTTTAGGAGACTAGAGTAAACACTTGAAGATATTTCATATGATTGCTATTGAGATTTCCTATGATTGCTGTAACATAGATTATTTATTACAAAAATGAGAAAATTTTCACCCTTTTAGTCAGTGTTCGTTATCATTAGAGGAAATTAGTTGATTAGGGCCTCTAGCAGACAGGCTTGCTTTCTCAGCAATAAAATGTTATTAAAATATTATTCAGGCTAGTGAAGAACCTCCCTAGAAAACACTAAAACATAAATGTTAAATTATTATAGTTAATTACTTGTTTGTTATAGCTGTGCCTACAAAAAGCAAAATATACTCTAACTTTTATTTTGGTTTGTTTCTGAAATGTTATTAGATAAATCTGTTAACATTATTTCATTTTCCATGACTTAAAATTAACTTTTCTAAATGTCAAAAATATACTCAGTTTCTCAGTCATGATTTCTACACATTTGACTAATGGAGTGGGAAGTATTCTTTCTGAGTTTTAAGGAATTTCTGGAGCAGTCCATCTTAAGCAATCAAGACTGTGGAAGAAAAGCTGTCAACTCAACTATTTGCTTTTTTTAACCAATAAAATTGTCTCGTCAGCACAGGGACTCTGGAAACTACTTGATATAAATATGAAGCTTAGCAGTTTTATTATTCTTGAATCAAGCTGACATATTCAGTGTTGAAAGAAATAACTAATATTAGCATAAATTTGCATGTTGTTCTTGATGAATATAAGCTAGAACTGGGTTTAGCATAGTATTATGCATATGCCATAAAGAAAAAAGTTTTTCTTCCACTGCGTAAGAGTACTAGAAATCTCATTTCTAGTTTTAGTATATTTTTGCAAGATATTTACATGAATTTAATATTGAAAGCATTTATGCCTTGTCAATATCACAAAAGAGATAGTTACTTAGATGCAATAAAAACTGGTGAATGACATGTACTTTCCTGCATCTTTGTTAGTGGATAAGATTTTTAGAAGGGATTTTAATTAAAGTTTAAATAAGAAGAGCTCAGGATATGTTGAATGAGAAATAGAAGGCTCATCAAAGAGTGTATGTGTGTATGTGTACTTAAATTTGTGTGTGTGTAGTAATGCTATCTGGAAACTAGTGCAATGAAAAACAAAACACAACAGGAAAGAACTGAGGCAAAGGTGGCTCAGGAAGTTTTCTTTTGACATTTAAACTCAGAAGTCACTGACAGTTCTTCCTGGATATCACACTGACTCATCCAATTTAATGTCACACATTGAACCCAGTGATGCCTTTTCTTCCTATTGAAAACTAGCATCTCATCCTGTTTTCTTTATTTAATTCATTACACAGCTGAAGTCTATCCACCCTCACTGCCATAGCACCACCAGATGTCACTGATACCATCGCTCCTTTCTGTTCACATTTTTAGAGTCTCATTATTTATGTTGCTAAGCATTTTCTTACAACTGTTGGAAGCCTAGAGGTTAAGATAGGGCTGGAGATATATACTAATGACTTATTTATTAGATCTATAATGGCAAGGATGAGTTCAATATAACAAACCAATGAAATGATTTTGCTTCTCTTGCAACTCACTCCTTAAAATGTGTATTGAACAAAGGTGAAGTAGAAAAGGTGTATTAGCATTTTTTTTATTTTACGTGACTTAAAATTTACTTTTCTGATTATTAATAATTTATCTAGTGTCTCAGACTTGGTAATTGGGTTCATCAACAAAGCTTTGTAAATTTTGAGTAGAGACCACAAAAAGGTAGTAGCTGTGCATGAAGATTACCTGATAGTTTATCCGTTAAGAATGCTTATGGATATAAGCAATGAAAATCTAACAATACTAAGAGAAATAGAGATATATGTTCTCATGTAGCATGGAGTCTGGAGGCTGGTGGCCCACAGTTCTGTGATGCCATCAGCCACCCTGCTTTTCTGCATTCCTAAGAATGGAAGATTTTTACGTTGTTGCTTTTACCCTCGTGTTTTTCTCCTCATGCCTCCATCTGCCATCATATCTCATCTGCCATCATATCTCATCTGCCATACAGATAGGAACAAGGGAAAAGGACTAATGAGGAAAAAGGCAAGGAGCTACGTCAGCTGATTCTCCTTTTCTGTCAGGATAGTGGTGTCTTCCCTAAACGCCCCATCTATGCAGATTTCTGACTATGTCTTTATGGCCAGAACTCTTGTCTGGCATGCATTCATTCTAAACTGGAAGGTGGTTAGGGAAAAGAGAGGTGTGGGGGTGTGAAACAGCCTGCCAAAAGTGTCACAATTGTGGCCAGTTCATTTCACAGCTTGAGATGACATGGACCATGAAGACCTTTGTCACCTTCAGAATGCGGCAAAGCATGAGAGAATTTTAGAAGGCCGCTGAGAAAGAGAAACAAGTTTTAGGATTACAGAAATATTCAACAACCAACCATATAAGATCAAAAGAGATGGTTTTTCAGTTCTGTGTTTGATTAAAGACTCAACTGTACAAGAGCCATGGCTACACAGCAGGGATTGGGGATAAAAAAACAACTTGGAAATATCAGTTGTCAACAATGTGATCTAGCAGACAAAAAGCTAGTTTTCTCGTGCCCTGTATTGAAGTGAACATATTTGACTCTTAATTTTGAATATACCATTTTGTTCTGAAGGGTGTTTTTATTTATCTCCATAATGTTATGCTTGCATATTTAGGAATCCGGGTTTGAATCAGAATTATTATAATACTGAATAACTTTTATTGGGAAAGTATTTTCCAGTGGATACTCTTATTAAATCAGCTTAATTTAAAAATTAATTTTATATGAAGTAGAAGTAAATTACTTCTAAGTATTTCTATTTTGGTTTTAAATTTATTAAAATTATTTTTATTTTCAAAAAACTTTTTTGGGTTATTTTTGTTTCTCTTAAAGTCTGGATTTCAGCTCCTACCAGTGTTTTTATTTTTTTTTTCTTCTATAGTTATCATATCTACCAGGTCTCATGCACCTAGATCAGATATTATAGATCTGGTTGTTGTCAAGATTTGCTACTTCTGTCATTATTTTGTTAGTTACAGATGTTATCTGTGTGGTTTTAGGCTTCTACAATGTTATTTGGTGTTGTTTCTACCACGTCTAGTTTTTTCTGCATCAGATTTTTTGTGTTCTATGAAATCAAGTGGAAATGGTTCTTTAGTCAGTCTTGTATCTAAATCAAATTTTGTAATGCGCAGCATTAGCCATTTTTAGTTTTATGCTGATTATTGCTACCATTCATTCAGCACATAGGATTTAAGTTTGTATCATATACTGGGCAGTGTACTAGCCACTGGTGATACACTGGTGAACAGAGCTTACTGTCTACCTGGGGAGAAAAAGAAAATGAAATGCTTATAATGACAGTAAAATTTCAAGTAATATTAAATGTCAGGGGAAAACATGAAGTGATCCAGGGAGACCTCTCTAAGAAGAAGTGATTTAAGCAAAGACCTGAATATGGTCTTTACTCACATAGTTTCATGGTTCACTCAGGTGGAGGGAGTGAAACATACAATGGGCATGAAACATACAAAGGGCTTAGTGTATTTGTAGAACAGCAAGAAAGGCAGCATTAAGCAGAGAGTACTGGCAGAAGAATTTTAGGAAATAAAGTTGAGGAGGTTGGCAGGGGCAGAACATAAGGGGCCATAGATAGGAACTCATAGGCCACAGATAGGACTTCAGAATTATTCAGTGTGGCAAGAAGCCTTTGGTAGGTCTTGAAGGCTGTTCCGTTTGCTGCATGGATAATAACTTTAGGAGGACAAGAATAAGAGCAGGGAGATCAGTTAAGGGTCTTGCAAGTGAGCAGTCACAGTGGCTCAATGGGGATGATAAGTAATATTTATTATCAGTTGGATAAAAATAGCAGGTATTTATTTCTTGAATAAAAGTATATTTACGAGGAAACTCGTAGGATCTAGGTACACAGTAGCTTCAAAACATCTTGGAGATCAAATAATACCATATAACTAACCCGCATTTAATAAAATTATTGTATTCAGAGCAAGTGAATAATAACCCTATCCTTCTTAATATTAGATCACCATGAATATTGAATAGTTTGTTACATTTATGCCTTCTCATTTAAATAACATGTGCATAAACAAGGGAACCACGGACACATTCAAAGGAATATGATGAAGATGCTCAAGGCCTCTGAGAGTCAGTAGGGCCATGGGGAGGCAGGTAATGGGTAGGAGCACGGGCTCTGGAGCCAAACTTGCTGTTAGAAGTCTATAACTTACTATTACTAGCTGTGTGACCTTGAGCAGCTTACTTCTGGGTTCTTCGGTTTCCACAGAATGGGTCAAGAATATAAAGATTTGCCCTGGAAAAGCTTCTTCTTCTTTTTTTTTTTTTTAAATTAAGGCTTAGTTCAGGGATTGTATTCTCTGGTAAACTTTTTTTTACCCAACTGCTCTACTCTCCAGAATCCTTCCACCCTCAAATATCTGGCTAAGTTAGGTAACTCAGACTGGAGGTGATAAAAATCACCTTACTTTTCTGTTTCACACCTAGAGGCTGATTTTTGTCCCCTAAAATTCTTATGTTGAAGTCCTGACCACCAAATACCTCAGAATAGGACTGAATTTGGAGATAGAGCCTTTAAATAGGTAACTAAGGTAAAATGAGGTTTTATGGGTGGGCCCTAATCCAATATGACTGATGTCTTTGTAAGGGGAAAAGGTTAAGACAGAGTTAAACACAGAAGACACAACATGTGAACATGAAGAGAGAAAATAGCCATTTACAAGCTACAGAAAGAGACCTCAAATGAAACCAACCCTGCTAACATACTGATCTTGGACTTCCAGCCTCCAGAACTATGAGGAAATTTATATTGTTTAAGCCACTCAATCTGTGGTACTTTATTATGGCAACCCTAGCTGACCGATACATACCCTGTGAACTCCATAAAGGCAGAGATTATATCTTTAATTTCATCTAAAGCTTTTGTTTAAGAAATGAGAATGAAACCAATAATTACTAGGCGAATACCATATGTCAGGCACTGTATTAGGTACTTTCCACAAATTACCTGACTTAATTTTTCCAATGATACTAGGAAATATAGATATTATTATGCCCATTTTATAGATAAGGAAACAGCCTGAGAAGACAATAAGTAACTTAATCAGATAGGTGTTACTTCACAAGGATCCCAGAACATCATCTGTATCACACAGTAAAATAATTTTCTTTAGAAAAATAAAAATATTTCTTAAAAAAATCAAACAAAACTTTAAAAGGAGATATCTAAGGTTTTGTTTGTTTGTTTGTTTGTTTGTTTGTTTTTGAGGCAGAGTCTCACTCTGTAACCCAGGCTGGAGTGCAGTGGTGTCACCTCATTGCAACCTCCACCTCCCAGGTTCAATCAATTCTCATGCCTCAGCCTCCCAAGTAGCTGGGATTACAGGAATGTGTCACCACGCCTGGGTAATTTTTCTATTTTTAGTAGAGCTGGGGTTTCACCATGTTGGCCAGTCTGGTCTTAAACTCTTGGCCTCAAGCAATCCACCCACCTCAGTTTCCCAAAGTGCTGGGGTTATAGGCATGAGCCACAGCGCCTAGCCTAAAGGTCTTTTGAATTGTTTTTATTCTTTTTCTATTCCAAAAGAACTGGATCAATAGGGTAGAATATTTGTTGTGCTTTGATTCACAGAAGAACGAACTCTGCAGTAACTGGAGCTGCTGAAAGTAGAGTGGATTCAGTTGCTGCAACGACTAAAACTAGTGCTAGACAATGCCTTTATAGGGAATGATACTTTGGGAATTCATGCTTTAGTTCGAAGGTTGTACTCAATGACCATTGCATCCTCCACAAACTCTTAATTAGATTAACACACTTTATTATGTGTCTGAATTGAATTATACTTCAGTAAGATATGATCAGTCTGACTTGTGGTATGTATCTGCATATGTGAACTATTGAGTTACATTTATTTCAAACCTATGATTAGAAAAAAAAAGTATTTCTCAAAAACAAGTCACAAACCTCTACCAAAACCTCATACTTTATTCAAGAATTAACTCAAAATGTAGAAAAGATTTAAACATGTAGAAAAGATTTAAACATGTAGAAAAAAAAAGAGCAAATCCTTAGGATTTGGGTTAGACAAAGAGTTAGACTTGATGTCAAAATTGTAACACATAAAGGAAAAATTGATAAATGAGTTTTTCAGAATTGAAAGTGTTTGCTCTGAGAAAGATGCTAAGAGGATGAAAACTTAGCTTACATACTGGGAGAAAATGTTTACAAACCAGGTATCTGACAAAGGACTACTATCTAGAATATATAAAGAATGCACAAAACTCAACAATAAAAAATAACTAGAAAGTGAGCAAAACACCTGAAGAAGATATACAGATGACAAATAAGCCAATGAAAAGTTGTCTGGCATTATTAGCCATTAAGGGAATGCATGTTAAAACCACAATGAAATATCATTATACACCTATGAGAACAGTCAAACAAAATAGTGGCATCACCAAATGCTGTTGATGGTGTAAATAAATTGCTCTCATGCCTTGCTAATAGAAATGTAACGTAGTATAACCATTCTGAAAAAGAGTTTTACAGTTTCTTATGAAACTAAACATGCTACTGTTATATTACCTAGCAATTGTACTCTTGATGTATTTTTCCTAGAGAAATGAAAGGTTTATACAAAAAATTAAACATAAATGTTTGTAACAGCTTTATTTGTAATAGCCAGAAACTGGAACAATAGCCACAAATAGAAACAACCCTTGATTTCCTTTGGTGCTTGAATGGTTAAGTAAACCATTGTATATCCATATGATGGAGTACTACTATTCAGCCATAAAAGTAAATGACTCATTGACATACACAGCACCTTGGATGATTCTTGAGAAAAGTATGCTGAGTGAGAAAAGCCAATCCCAGAAGGTTACAAAAGGTAACAGGGTGTTATATAAATTGTTCAACTTCTTATACAAGTGATTCTATGCATAAATCACTCTTAAAATGACAACATTATAGAAATGGAGAACAGATTAGTAGCTATCAGGGGTGAGGGATTAGGCAGAGGGATGGTGAGGGGAGTATAAATGTGGCTATAAAAGGGCATTATGAGAGATCTTTGTGATGATGAGAATGTTCCTTATCTTGACAGTATCAGTGTCAGTATCCTGCTTGGGATATTATACCATGGTTTTGCAAGATCTTCCCACTGGAGGAACTGGGTAAAGGATACAGAGGATCCCTCTGTACTATTTCTTGCAATTGCGTATTAGTCTACAATTATCTCAAAAGTTTAGTTTTAAAAATGATAATGAAGGCCAGGTGCAGTGGGTCACACCTGTAATCCCAGCACTGTGGGAGGCCAAGGCGGGTGGATTGCCTGAGGTCGGGAGATCAAAACCAGCCTGGCCAGCATGGTGAAACCCCATCTACTAAAAATACAAAAAATTACCTGGTGTGGTGGCAGGTGCCTGTAATCCCAGCTACTTGGGAAGATGAGGCAGGAGAACAGCTTGAACCCACTAGGCAGAGGTTGCAGTGAGCCAAGCTCGTGCCATGCCTGGACAACAAAGCAGGATTGTGTCTCAAAAAAAGAAAAGAAAAGAAAAGAAAAGTAAAGAAAATCATAATGTAATGTCCCTTTCATTTTACTGAAATAAATATTCACAGCACTTAATAACACTTTTTACGGCCCAAGCCATCACTGTGCATGGTCACCCATGATAATGTGAAAAAACTCTTAAAAGTTGTATTTTTAGAAGAAAAATTCCAATAACACTAGGTTATTTGCCTAGCCTCTCATTGAAAAATGCACCTGTTGTACTATATGTAATTTTTCCTTCTTTTTTTCCAGCCTTTTTCTCATTGTTCTCGTCATATCAGACATTATGGCTTTGGTAAGGCATTACTGGGTAATACATATAAATTAAGAGTGCTAGGTTAATTTAATAAAGAGAAATATGAATGCATTTCTGTATGTGAAATCTTTAGATATTGAATTGTAAGTACTGGCATAATTTATGTTCTTTTTATATTAGTTATGCTGGATGTATGTCATTATGTGTCTGAATGGAATTATACTTTAGTAAGATATGATCAGTCTGACTTGTGGTATATATGTGTCAAATGTCTTACTACTTGATTTATTCAAGGCTGTCATACCTCATCTTCTATGATGCTTTGTATCTGAAATGAACCTTCCAAAGGAAGTTATAGAGAAAGCTAACTTTAAATTTAGATAATACATCATTTTTCTATTGAAGTGTTGATTTTTAACCCTTCTCTCAGATTAAAAATGAAAGGAAAAGGGGGAGGGAAGGAAGGAAGGAAAAAGGAAATACAGCTTTTCTACTGGGAAGATGTTAAGCAAGATATAGCTACAATAAAAGAGTTCGGATGCATGTAGGTAGGCCTCTCGTATTAATAAAAAGAGGAGCCTATTTTATGTCTGCAAGTTTGGGGTGTTCCCAAGACCACTCTCAGCTTTTGTAATTCACTAGAAGAATTCACAGAACTCACTGAATGCTGTTATGGTTAGTTACAGTTTATTCCAGTGCATAAGACAGAGTCCAGGACACCAGACGCAGAGCTTCTGTTTCTCCCTGTGGAATCAGGACAGCACCACCCTCCCACTCTTGATGTGTGACAGTACACCTGGAGTATTGCCAGCCAGGCTTACCTAAGCTTTGTTGCCCAGACTTTTTAGTGGGGCTTGATCACATACTGCCTACCTGGCTGACCTTTAATGCCTTCTGGGGTTACAGCTGATAACATGGCTCAAAACCCTCATCATACATCACATTGTTAGACTGTCCAGTGGCCAAGACCTCAGGCAGAACACTTCTATGAGGCATGACATTCCAAGGGCCTAGAAATCACCTCCCAGTAGCTGAGAAACACCAGAGCTCTTGTAGGGTAAGGTTAATTCGTCACTGTATAACATACCATGCTAGAAGTAACTAGGAAAACTAGTTAAGAGTAGCTTTCCAAATCAGGTTCCTAGTCACTGAGTTTAGATGAGAGTATTTTTGTGTGGTATTGAACTGTTATTCATTGTATTTCTGAAACTGACCACATATAATGTGAGAACAAAACAGCTTTCAGTTTTGTATGCAAAATGGCAGACAGACATGTTAATAGATGAGGATTGAAATTCTGATTAATTTTATATTAAAAAGATTGCATAAATTAGCTTGCACAGCCATTCATGATCTAGCTTCTGCTCACTTGACTGGCATCTTCTCTCACCTCTCTGTCCTTGTTTTCTCTACGCCATCCTCACTTCGAAGCTACCAAGTTCTCTGTGGAATCTTGATGTGTATATAGGCTATTACCTCTGCCAGAAACTTCTTTCTCCCCAAACCTCCATTCATCTGACTCCTACTTTTTACTTAGATTTCACCTTCCAGTGGGAAACCTTCTCTTTCATCCTAATCAGGAATTAGGAAACCCTTCCGCCTGTATTTTCCAATGGTAACACTCCCTCCATCCCCCTCTTGCATACCCCGCTCCTGATAATTTGACTGAATCATTTAGTAGAGCCTATGCCTTATGAGGAGGCGTTTATCTCCAACACCTAAGACAGTGATTGGCACATAGTAGGTAGTCAGTACAGTAAATATTTGTTGATAAATGTATGACATGGCTTCTTTCCACTGACATCTTTAGTATTATCTAGTGTTTTTTATTGATGTTGGCTTGTTCTTCTTTATTTCTGGTTATTCAGAAATGCCACTTTTTTGTTCATTTGATTAAATGGTAATTCTATTTCTGGATTTTGGACTACTGCTAATTCTAATCCAAGTAAAAGTTTCAGTAAATGACATATAAGTCTTATTGATTCCAGTCAGATAGTGATTCTCAGTTAGAAATCTGAAACATACGATCCTAAAACAACTTTTAGACTGACTCTAAATAGCTTTGTTTTTAATGGAGCCTTTTTTTTTTTTTTTAACAGCATTTTTTCTTCTTGGTCAAGGATTATGGCAGCTGGCTTGATATTGGGACAAGGTATAGTATATATAGTCATGCATTGCTTAACACCAGGGATAGGTTCTGAGAAATGTATCGTTAGGCAATTTCTTTGCTGTGCAAACATCATCGAGTATACTCACACAAACCTAGATGATGTAGCCTCCTCCACACCTAGGATATGGTATAGCTTATTGCTACTAGATATAAACTTGTATAGCATGTTATACTGAATACTGTAGGCAGTTGCAACCCAGTGGTAAGTATTTATGTATCTTCACATAGAAAAGGTACAATAAAAAATTCAATATAAAAGATTTTTTAACTGGTACACCTGTCTAGGACACTTACCATGAATGAAGCTTGCGAGACTGGAAATTGTTCTGGGTGAGTCAGTGAGCGAGTGTTAAGTGAATGTGAAGGCCTAAGACATTCATGTACTGCTGTAGACTTGGTGAACACTGTACACTTTGACTACATAAATTTATTTTAAAAATCTTTTTATCTGTTTAATAAATTAACCTTCACTTAAACTGTAACCTTTTTACTTTATAAGTTTCTTTAACTTATTGACTTTATAATAACACTTAGCTTAAACACACAAACACATTATGTAGCTATATGAAAACATTTTCTTACTTTATATCCCTATTCTCTAAGCTCTTTTCTACTTTAAAATTAATATTTTAATTTAATATTTTAAAATTATTTACTTTTTTTTACTTTGTAAACTTTTTTATTAAAAACTAAGATACACACACACACACACACACACACACACACACATTCACCCACACATTCACCTAGGCCTACAGAGGGTCGGGATTTTTATCTCCACATCTTGCCCCACTGGAAGGTATTAACATGCATAGAGCTGTCATCTTCTATGATAACGGGCTTTCTAGAATACCTCCTGAAGGACCTGCCTGAGGCTCTTTTACAGTTAAATTTATGTTTATATGGAAAAGGAATAGAGTCTAAAAAATGATGAAAAATATGGTATAGTAAATGTAGATACCAGTAACAGTTATTGTCATGATCAGACATTATATACTGTACATAATTGTATGTGCTGGACTTCTATAGGACCAGCAGTGCAGTAGGTTTGTTTATACCAGCATCACCACTAACAGGTGATGTTTGTGCTGTGAAGACACTGTGTTGTCACTAGGTCTCTTAAACTCTTATGGGACCACCATGTATATGCAGTCCATTGTTGACTAACACATCACTATGTGTTTTTAATAGTGGAATAAAAAAATTAAAACTTAGTGTCTTACTATAGAAGGTACAAATTTGATTTTGAGGTAAGCACAGCAAGTAACTATTATTTTAAGCCCCTGGAAATGAGACATCTCTCCAATTCTTGGCATTAGCACACTGGCAAATATTTCCATGGTATGCTCTGGGGAGGATGATAGATGTTAAGTCCAGAGAGAACCAACGGGTAGCAGAAGATGCAAGAGAAACTGCTTGAATCTGCGGTTTCAAAGTGGATCCTTCCAGTGTCCTGTGTGTTTTCTTAATCTCTCAGTCTCTGTTTAGAAAAATGAGGCTGTTCCGGTTGCAATATGAATTTTATATGGTGGTTTAAATTTCATGTGATCATTATCTGCCTCTTACAATCTTTAATATGGTAACATTTTAACATATGATAACTAAGTAAAGTATAATTTGAGGCCAGGTACAGTGGCCCATACCTGTAATCCCAGGACCTTGGGAGGCTAAGGTGGGAGGATTGCTTGAGCCCAGGAGTTTGATACCAGCCTGGGCAACATAGTGAGACCCTGTTTTTACAAAAAGAAAGAAAAAAAAATTACCTGGGTGTGGTGACCCATGCCTGCAGTCTCAGCTACTGAGGCGGCTAAGGCAGAAGTGCTTGAACCTGGGAGGTCAGGGCTACAGTGAGCCATGATTGGGCCAGTGCACCCCAGCCTGGGCAACAGAGTGAGACCCTGTCTCAAAAAAATTAATGAGTTAATTAAAAATTAAGTGTAATTTGAACAGTTTCCTTTTTATTGTGATTTAAATGTCAACAATTGCCATAATCTGTTAAATTTCTTTTCTTTGAGAAGAAGAAAGCGAATTTGAACGTTTTGCCTTTTTTTTCCCCAAATGCATTCTGAGACAGAATATATTTTTGTAGACTGATTTTATTTCATTTAGTCAATATTTATTCAGCACTTTGTGTTGCCAGGAATTGTATGGCTTTGCAGGAGACACTGTGTGTTAAACATCCTCTTCCCTCTGTTGATATCTCTTAGGCAGCTCCTGGTGTGTACTGCCTGGTTATGTATATGCATATCTGCCTCTCCCAATAGACTTTGGATTCCCTCAGATCCAGGATTGGATTTGAACCTCTTACATGCCATACATGCTTGGCATGTAAAAGGTACTCCATAGGTAATTGATTTTGTTTTCATTTGTCTCTTAAACTTGAATGTTTAAGAAAAGTTTAGCTATCCCTTTCTTCTCCCTAGCCCTCTCATCCCAGAATCTCTAGGCAGATAGTGGCCAGAGCATGGGCTTTAGACAGAGCGCCTGGGTTTGAATCTCATTTCTGCCACTTTAGAGCTGTGAGACCTTGCTAAGTGACTTAATCTCTCTAAGTCCCCCATTTCTCGTGTAGTCATTTTGAATGAGTTAATTTATATAAAGCATTTAAGTATTTAGCATAGTGGCTGGCATCTAATAAGAATGTCAGCTATTGTCATTGTTGCCATTCTGTAATTCTGTTTTTTCTCCTTTATAGTACTTCTTGTATTTGACATACCTCTCTTTACTCTCTCTATCATTTGATTATTTTTATTTTAGACATAGGTCAGAATTTTGTTTCAAAAACATTCTGGTAAAATGCAGCATTTTGCGTATGAGACTTTTTCCTTTATTTTTAATTGTGGTAAACTACACATAACAAAATATATCATCGAAACAATTTTTAAGTGTATAGTTCAGTGGTATTAAGTATGTATTCACATGGTTGTGCAACTGTTACCACACTACCATCTGGCTCCGGAACTCTTTCCGTCTTGGAAAACAAACTCTGAAAGTGTTAATCAACAATACCCTATTCTCCTTCTCATCAGCCCCTGGCAATCACCATTCTGCTTTTTGTTTCTATGAATTTGATGACTCCGGGTACCTCATATAAATGAAATAATACAGTGTTTGTCTTTCTTGCAACTGACTTATTTCACTTGGTGTAATATCATTTTGCAACTGACTTATTTCACTTGGTATAATATCATCAAGGTTCATTCATGTTGTAGCACGTGTCATAATTTCTTTCCTTTTAAAGGCTGGGTGATACATATATGCATATACCATATTGTTTACCTATTCATCTGTCAATGGATACTAGAGTTGGTTCCACTTTTGGTTATTGTGAATAATGCTGCTGTGAACTTCAGTGTGAGACTTTTTGGATGAGAGAAATCTAAATTGGTTTCACCCTAAAGAGGTGCCAAGGAATGAAGAACATGCAATTTTCATAGGAAGAAGTGCATCATTAGTTTCTGAACAGGCATTCATTTGTATTGCACTAAGAGTTTTAGATTTCCTTTAATTAGCTTGAGGTTTATCTTTACCTGGCATATTTTTTCTTCAAAGTAAAAATTTTTTACTCTTATTGCCATTAATAACATGTATAAAACACAAAGCACCTTTTCATATCCATGATCTCAATCCAATCCAGCAAATATTTATTGAGGACCAGCTGTATGCTAGGAGAGTTGCTGGGGAAGAGAAACTCACAGTTCTGAGCTCTCGGAAAGCATAATGCTGGAGAAGGAAGCAGATCCACGAGCAGGCCATATGGTGCAGTGTGAGAAATTCTAGAGTAGTCTCTCATGTGCTGTGAGGACACTTAGGGTGTCTGTCTGAGTCTCATAGCATAAGGAAGGCTTTTCAGGACAGGAGCTGTCTAAACACTGCAAGTGTGGGGCTTAGAAGAGTACGTTGGGTCGCAAGAACTGGGGAGAATGTGCAGAGTGACAGAAGGCGAAGAGCAGAGAACAAGTGTGGAGACGAGGCTGAAAGAAGTGGCCAGAAGGCAGAAAACCTAGAGAGAGCCATATTGAGAAAATCAAGCAAGCATTTCAGGAAGGAGGGAGGTCATGCAGTTTCAGATAGGACAGAGTGTAAGTGAAAACATAAAGGTGTGCCTTGGTTGAAGCTTCAGTGGGCATTGATGAGCTTGGCTAGAGAGGTTTCAGTGGTAGGATCTGGTGCTAGATTGCTGTACTGAATCAGATCCCACCAATTTCCAGGTGAGGACTGCAGACCAAAGATAAACATTTTTCTTTTTACTACCAAGAGCCCAATAAAATAAACAAACCTAGCAAAATGAAAAAAAATGGGAGAAGGACTATCAGCAGATTTGAGTTAAACAAATTTCTAGAAGATAGGTAACCAGAGGGAGGAAGCAGCAGCTCAGAAGCTACAGGCAGCTATGGCCAAAGGGAAAGGAGTTCCAGGGGCTTCTGACTCAGATAGTAATGTGGAAGCAGGAATGAGGAAGGGAAGCAGATTAATGGGATATCTGTCTACCAAATGATGGTATCAACAGGCTCTCCATAGCCTGTCTCCTGCTTCCTTCATCCCATGGAGAAAGTGCTACAGACATTTTACTACTAGTAGAAAACCAGAAGACACCTCTTAAAGAGATAAAAAAAAAAAAAAAAAAAAAAAGAACTGGGAGGAATTTCACTGCTGTGATATATGTGCCTCCACTTCAGTAAGGCTGTTCTCCATTCTAGCATGTGTAGACTCCTGCTAACAAAGGGCAGAGAGAGGCATCCCTCCTGCTCATTCTAAAACATGACACAGCAATTCCTATCACATGCATAGAACTAACTGGTGGCCGTCCTATTGGTGAGTGAGACCTAGAGAGAAAAGAGACTTTCTTAAAAAGCGAAATACACACTACCCTATGACCTAGCAATTCCATGCCTAGGTACCCAAGAGATGGCAAAACATATGTATGCTGAAGGACTTGTACAGGAATTTTCATAGGAGCTATATTCACAATAACCAAAATC